CTTTATTCCAGGGAATAATTATCAACAGTCAAAATGAAAACCTGCTTTAATGAGCCTTGAATCATTTCCTTCTCAAGCTCTCACAGCACAACAGGAAGATAGATAAAACATTATGGCTCTAAAAATAGTCTGTTAGCTACAGTAAAGCACATGATTTCCACTGTAGTGATTCAGGGAAAACACACACACGAACACACACTTCAGGCAGTGTTTGGAGCCTTTTGTGTGATCTTTAAACAGGGAACATTATACATTTTTTTCAGACTCTATTCTTCTACTCAGATACCTCTTTAATAACTTTACGTGATTTTCAGATTCAGCCTCAAATTTCTCACAGTGGTTTGTTAAAAAAAATCACCTCACAAGAGGCAGGCTGTTCACCTCATAGACATAATATGCATAGATGCCCTATCATGAACTGGAGCATTATCCAGTTTCGCTGCCATATTAGAGAGAGCAATGACCAGCAACAGAAAGAGAGAGTCTTCCGTGCATGTGTCAACATATTTGGACTTTCAGAATTGAAAATAGTAGAGCAATAGTAATAGCATTGCCAGTTTTGAGCTGCTGGTTAACCAAAGGGCTAATTTGGAGCCAGTCACAAAAATGATCCATGCCCTTTCTCTTGCTGAAAAACTCCTTGTAACCCTGCATTTTCCTGTCTGGATCATTCCAGTGCACCATCGCTGTTAGTACGTTTCCCAGAGTAGTTTTTCTGGTGTTCTGCCCCAAGAGTTGAATGCCTTGTCATTCAGGATGGGCAAGTATATCCAGTTCCCACGCACCTGGGAAGAAAACAAAAAACACAGGATGGTTTTCATAGATAATTAGATCAAACAGAGAACACACAAAAAAACCAAGCCTATCCATTTGTCTTCTTGATTTGAAATTCTTTAAATTTTTTTCTTTTTATGATTTGTAGTTAATTTTCTTGCATCTGTAAAGCACTTTGAATTGCCTTGCTTATGAATGGTGCTATACAAATAAAACTGACTTGCCTGCCTTTTGTGCAGCTGGCTTCCCCCAAAAGATAGGTGAAACTCCATGGCTTCAAACTTTCGTTCATGGCAACTCTGTTCTCACAAACTCTCCTTGGTGACAGCTTGTAGCGCGTGCAAAATCCTTGTTTAAATAGGGCTGTCCGCACTACTTTTGCACCTGTTATCAATTGTGCACAGCAGATCACCCACAACACGCCCACTTATAGCACTTTTGCAATTTTTTTGTTTGCACACACAATTTTGTCTCCCTATTTGGGATCTTATTAGATCAGGCCCTGTCTTACAAAGGTGAAACAGCAGATAAAAGCAGTGCAGAAAAAGATGCAAATGCATTTAAAGCTCCTATGAGGAGTTTTTATTTTTATTTTTTTTACATTTATTAAGTGGCTTTATTCATATTGAAGCCTTTTTATGACCCCTGACCTTTCATGACTATTTATGAGACATGATATTCGAGGAAAACACAATATTATTTATCCAAAATTAAGAAAAAGTAAAGCTTTTTTAATGCATGGAGCTTTAATCCTAGCTGGATTAGTTATATTAGTTTCGCATGGTGAACTTTTGGTTCATAGCAGTCTTTTCTCAATAGTGTCTTTTAACAAAAAAAACTCATCCTGCTGACCTTTGACTGTCAAGTGCATCATTTAAAGTCTGAATATTACATGTGGAGAATGTAAAAACAGGGCTGTCTCTACAGCTGTTCCAACCTAGCCCCTCACAAAGGTCTCAGGCAGTATTAGAGTGTTGGACTTGGCTCACAAAGTTTGCATGTCAACCAAAAATACACAGTGTAATCTTGCTAAATTACCAAGAGTGCACCTTATCACATTAGTTTTTTTAAAGGGCAGTTAGAGGGCACTTTTTTACATTACTTTTACTGGCAAGACATCAAAAGGGCACTTTTCTGACTTTTTTAAACAATGGAACTGCATCCGGAGCACTTTCACTCCTTTAACTATAAGGAGGACTCAAGAGGGCCTCTGAGTCCACTACTGTAACAAAAGCAACAAGACATCATAATTTTTAATGCCTTAAAGACCCGCTCGAATGAAAATCATGTTTTTTTTTTTGTTCATGTTCATATGACATTTTTCTGCTGCTACAGGACATATCTTGAGAAAACTAAGTACAAAACTGAATTTCTGAGTATTACTGCATTCGAATCGTCGTGAACCTCTGGTAGACCCAAACAGCAGGTTCAGACAGAGTGAGATTTTCCATGTCACAAATCCAAGCTCTGCCCCCATTCTGCAGGCCAGACCGCCAAGAGGTAAAAAATAAAAAATAAAATGGAGTGGGACTTTGAACTGGTGTGAGGGTGTGTGTCAGCCAAGCAGCTGTAGTAAAGTCAACATGAGATTTTTGGTCAGTAGACACTACTGCAGCATGTAGAGGACAAAATAGGCAAAAACTGCTTCATTCACTGGGGTCTCTAAAAGTTCCTTACTGGAGCTTTAACTGAAACTCTGAATCCGCACAGTTTGGTTCACCTGTTCTTGAGCTGGCATGGGTTTTACATCTGACCTACATAAAAACTAAAACAGCTGACTGGAGCTGCTACTGTGAATTACATCATTAGGGGGTCCAAGAGACCTAAAGTCAAGCCCTTTTATTTGTAACTCATGACACTGTGAAAAGGCAGGTTACAGCCCACCACAGAGTCAACGACAGAAAAACACCATACTGTAAAAAAAAACAATAAAATAACCTGAGAACATGAACATGAGGGAGGTAAATGGATGATTCTTGTTAGTTTGAAAGGCAGAGACAAACAGTGTGACATCGGGTCTGTCATTGATTAGAGGCCATTGTGCAGTTCAGGCAACACGCCAAAGGTTTCAGCTCTTTAGACCAATAAAGTCTGTCAAGTATGAGGCAATTTGTATTAAAGCTGCTGCTATAAAATATGATTTTATAACCAGAACACTTCAAAAACATGACAGAGAGCTGACGCTGCATTGAGACTGAGACTGAGAATGACTTACTGACATCCACAGTTGATATTTGACTTTCTGGCTATCATTTCTCGCATTTTTTTCCCTCAGGCCTTCATTATGCACACAATGGATGGGAATTCAACACAGCAGAGCAGCTGGGAAATCCCATCTGCTTAAATGTATAAGGTGCTGGATGAGTGTAAAATGGGTGTTCCCATCACACAAATCCTAAACTAACAGCAGAAACATGTCCCTATAGAGACTTTGTTAGGTACACAAAGGGTGCAAGCTGCATTTTCAGAGCTTGACATGCCCGGACAGATGGATTTACATAAAGACTGACATGAAAACTGAAAATCTGTGAGAATGTAACCAGCCACTGCAACCATGAATAAAACTAGATTTAACGGATAAACACGGGTGGTGAAGGCGTTCCTCATTGCTGATGCCTACAGAGTGATTTTCTATGACCTATGTTCTCATGTCAAGGAGCCAATCTATAAACCCTCCAATTAGCATGTTGTTCAGGCACCTGCTGCATAATGAGGTATAAGAAGGGCCGATTTTACATATTGTTTCATTTAAGTTACCTGATTCTGCTCAAGTGTGCTCAAAGGAGCAAAGTCAGACCTGTACAGCTCTACCAGTCGACGATATCTATGAATCTTAAAACCTTTTTTTTTTTTTTTTCCCCAAAACCTGACAATGACAATGATTGTTCTCGACAGGTTCCATGCTCATGTGTCAACAAGAAGGTATGTAAAAACCTTCAGTTTTCTTTTGTTTGTCATGTGCGTCAATGGTGGACAGCTGCTTTTGCTTGTTTTTGTGTCATTTGTTAAAAGGGGGTTAGGTTGTTTGAGCAGGTGAATGGGTGAGGACAAAACATAGCTTTAAGTAGAGGTTCACAAGTTGAATGGACTGTGTTTGTGCAACACTTTCTTTTGTCTCCTGGCCACTCATAATGCTTAATTTAGGGTCACATTCTCATAAACCCATAGACTGTATATACTATGGACAACTTGGCTCCGCCTTCCGTCATTATATGAATTTAAAGCTGAATTTCTCTCAGTATTTCCAGGATTTTCTCCATTTCCTGGAACCACCACTTGCGCAGCAGCTTTGTACGCATTTGGCAGGAGAGTCACTTTGATGATGCTCGGCTCAAACAGCGTAACCCCCCAAGCCAGCTACATAATCTTCATACACCGGTAGACTGTAAGTGTCAATCATATAAAACATGAACCCCCTAATAACTTTTAAAAAATGGAGCTGCAGAGAAAAAAGAGGACTTGAGCACAAACCAGTCTTACAGTAACTACATGTCAACACCGCAACCAGAGGGGATAAAAATTTGTACTCTGTGTAATTAATTTCTAAAGTTTGTCCACAACTCCATAGGGATTGCTGGAGGAGGCGGGATTTATGACCTATACTGCAGCCCGTCACCAGAGGGTGCTGTTCTTGGGAATGGCTTCACCCAGCGAGAAGGCCGACGGCGTACATTCTATGTACAGTCTTTGCTTAAACCACATTCACACACTGATGGCAAAGACTGCTATGTAAAGCGCCAGGTCATTAGTTGTGGTGTTTGGTGAGACATCGCCTCATTAAACGATCACTTCTCATGCTTTTATTTTGATTTTTTTTTTAAGTGTGTGTCTTTTTTCAGGTTGCTTGCAAAACTATGCTTTTACTTTAAAGTGAACTGGTTCATCGCAAATTTCAGAACTAAGTAAAACATTTAAAAGTACATTAAAAACGTATAATCATCCCTCAAAAGCTGTGCAACAGCGGCTGCTGCGTCATTCGTCTCTCCTCTGTTTTCCTTGAATGTGGACAGCAGTTTAACAAACTCCTGTAAACACATTATCAGTATTTTATTTTCTTGAAAAGATTGTTTATGCTGTTAACTGCCCAGCTTTATTTTTGTGTTACTCCTTTCTAAACAGATACATCACAGATGTTATCCCTCAGTCGGCAGGGTTGTGTAGAAACCTAAAAAAACAATCAATCTGTTAGAGCAGCACCCATAACAGGTTTCTCTTGCTGAACTTAGGAGGTCTGCCCCATTTGCATGCCAATAATCGCAAGAAAGAGAACAGCAGAGGTTTCCAAACGCTGACATTCCTTGTCTGTTGAGCAGTGGATGGACATCCAGACCTCAGACATTACAGAAAGGTGAGGGCACTTTTTATTTTTTAGGTAGGGATATTTTACATTTTTTTCCTTTGAAGATTAAGAATATTTAAGCTTTTTTTATTCTAAAGGTTACTTTTTTGAAAGAGTCTTTCTTAAGGTAAGGGTTTTGCTTATTTAGTTGGGACAGGATTTGTATGTGCAGGTGGGAGGAATTGGGAAACCTACTGTGAAAAGTTTTGAGCTCCAGACCCTTTACTTTCTGTATTTTGGGGAATTTTAATGCAGAATCTTACCAGTATCTTATCTCATTTAACTGTTTGGTATTTACTGCACAGAAATATATTATTATGATCAAGCACCAATTAAAGTAACATCAAACACATAATCCGATGCTATAGAGAAAAGAAAAAGTTTACCCTCTTAAATATCATACATTTTCAGGGATTGTGCATTTTTTAAGAACAATTTTTTTCTTTTGAGGTGAGTTTGTCTACAATTTGGTAAGGTGTCTCTTACGATTAACCTGCAGCAGTTATACTGTTTTGTTTTGGGTTTTTTTAGAGATTTAATTTCATACGTTTCTTTACACTCATTTTAAGCCAATATGTGTTATTTGAAATGACTTTTTGACAAGCCACACCCAAGTTTTGATATTTTCTGCGCCTACATTTGTTTAGACAAGCATGGTTTACTACTTATGCAGTTTAAAGTGATGCAAATGGCAGATTAAAAATGTCTCCGCTGGATTTTGTTCCTTTTTGTGTTACTGAATACAGTCAGAAACTAATTTTTGTCACATGGTTGAAATTTATTGCCAAGTGATTTTATGAGCCGTGAAGCAAACTCTTTCCCTGAGGTCTCAAATGGCATGAATGTTAAGGTGCCTGAGCGATTCCTCTATGTTTGTTTTTTCAACTTAACCCCTCCATCATGCGTACGTGCTCCAATGTGCACTCTCTCACAAATACACAAACATTTTCACGCAACTAAAAGCTAAATATATTGTAGTCATTCATGCGATCTAGCATTAGGCAATAAATATACAGCCTATCTTTCTCTGATTTCCTACTGAAGTTGCTTCCTTTGTTGAGAAACCTGAACCGATGTCAATTATCTCTCTTTTTTGCAGATGACGACCTCCAATAAAACATTGTTCTTCGCCAAGTTAGCCGCCTTGGGCCTCCTCTGCTCTGTTGTTGCATTCTGCCTGTTTTTTGAGCCTCCATCTGATGTTTGCCAGCCTGTTTTAGCCAATGTTGAACATTATGAGACTGTGAATCCTAATGAAAAGCCTATACTCCTGCTGTGGTTCTGGCCTCTTGGTGTGAAGTTTGATCTTAAAGCTTGCTCCATCCACTACAACATCGATGGCTGTGTTTTGACAGATAACAGAGCACTCTACAGCAAAGCTCAAGGAGTCGTCTTCTACCATAAAAACATAGCCTATAACATGAACAACATGCCCAAAGGTCCCCGTCCATCTTTTCAGAAGTGGATCTGGTTCAATGTGGAATCTCCGACAAATACAGGGGGCAAATTAAGAATGGACAACGTGTTCAACTTAACGTTGAGCTACAGAAGAGACGCCAGCATCACAGTGAGGAACGAGCTCACCATCAGGGAAACGGAGAGTGAAGAGGATTTCATTCCACCTAAAAAGACCAGACTGGTTTGTTGGATCGTCAGCAACAAAAACCATAGAACCGGGACAATTGTGAGAGAAAGGTACTACACAGCGCTGTCCAAACACATAAAGATCGATCTTTTTGGTATTGCTCACACTGGGCACAGGCTGAGCTATGAAGAATATTACCCAACCATTGGGAGCTGTAAGTTTTATCTGTCTTTTGAGAACTCCATTCACAGAGACTACATTACTGAGAAGGTGAACGGGCCCCTTGTGGCAGGGACTGTCCCTGTGGTTTTGGGTCCTCCACGATCAAACTATGAGCAGTTCCTTCCCTCTGATGCTTTTATTCATGTCAATGACTTCCCAAACCCAAAGGCGCTGGCGGAGTTTCTTCTCGCTTTGGACAAGAATGAAACAGCGTACAGGCGTTACTTTGAGTGGAGGAAGCACTTCTCTGTGACTCCTCATCTCCTGTCAATCAAGAATGAGTTCATTCAGCCCATCTGCCTCGCCTGTGACCACATCTCCAGAGACAAAGATTATCATATTGTCCATAACCTTTTCAAGTGGTATAGGTCATAGAAATCAAATCAGTTGTTTAAGCTTTCTTTGAGAAATTTACCTAAACTGTGTCATATATTTGAAAAGTGAGCATATAAATAGTGTTGTGCATGTTCACACTAAAATGATCTGTATCAAGAAGCTGCAGCCAGCTGATGATCAACCTATTATTTGTTTATATTGATGCTGGGGCAGGAGAGGGTTGCTGATGGGTGATTCAAACTGGCTTAATCGGAGAAAGTGGCACTCTACCATGATGCACATCCTTTACAAGTTGTCTATCTTATACCTGTTTATTACATCTTTTACTGTAGTCCCTCGAGTTCATTAACAGATCCCCCAGTTTAGCATGGATCCACATGTTCCAGAGCTAAAAAAAAAAACTTGAGGTGGAACGCTAATAAGCAGGGGTGTGTCCAGAACTTTTAGACTGTGGTGGCCCTGCCCTGGTAGTGACACTGCTGGGGTGGCATGAAGTATGTGAGCTCACACAACACTAAACATGATTTACTATTGCATCTGTGCTGTAACACTGGGCATATTTCTCTGAATAAAGATATGCTTTGAGTTTGTTCAGTGATTTTATTTATTTATTTATTTATTTATTTTTTTGGGGGGGCAAAGGAAAGTTATAACTTTGGGAGGTAGAATTACTTATCTGATACTTAAATTCCAATTCACACAAAGTACAACAAAAACCACCTCAATCACAACCATGATTGAGGCATTAACACTTTTAGCCAATAAATTGGAGTAAGAAAAATATTTTATTTATTAATAAAAAAAGAGTTATCCTTATGCACGGTTACATGGCTGATGCTTAAAAGTATGTGAGTGTACTTTAGTTTTTATACATGTCAAACTGTAATTCAGTTTGACTCAAATTCCTGAATCTTCCAAAAACAAAAATCTTTGTTTTTTATTTCTATAATGTAATGTAATGTTTCTATAATACACAGTTATACTTATGAAGCCTTTTATGGTTGTATAAAGTAAGTACTCAGTAATTTAAGTCCATTTCAAAATTAAAGGGATATTCCAGGGTAAAATTAATTTAGGGTCAAACACAATAACACCAAGTTAGTAATGGCCACACCATAGCAATACACAGTGGTCTGAGGAGCCATACACAAACCTCAACCAAAACTCCACTCTATAGCCACAAATAATGCTCAGAACAGCAACTAAAAAAACATTTATGATCATTTCTTCATGCAATCAGATCGAGACACTAAGGCAGAAGAACTACTGCGACTGCAGTGCAAAATGATTATGGTGATTATTACTTCAAGGAAATGACAAAGTAATGATCAATAATGTTTTTCCTTGAGCTGCGTCACCCAATAGCAGTCTATAATGGACTGGCCCTTGGTCTAGCTACAAACAAGCGGCTGCTGGAGGAGAGTAGGTGAGTTGTGTTTAGTCTCTTTGCGAAAGAAATCAGGCAAAGCTAAAAAGATGTTTGGTGGTTAGTGCTGTGGCTGGGACCCTATATGTACTGTTGATGAAGTTAGGTGTTGTTCTGAGCATTATTTGTGGCTATAGAGTGGAGTTTTGGTTTAAATGTGTGCGTGGAGACGTAGACCACTGTGTATTGCTATCGTGTGGTGGTTACTAAAATTGGTGTAACTAGAGAACAAGCAGTCGGCAACATTCATCTCTTGAGGGGGTGTCTTACTCTGTGTTATGGTGCATTTGACCCTAAACGAATTTTACGCCAGAATATCCATTTAAGACTGATAAGTTTAAATTAAAATGTAAGTAACTGCACTTTTACTTTGGCGAAATATTTCTTCATTTTAGTCCTGTTTTAACCCCATATAGATGTGTCACAGCCCCCTGTCTTAAGATAAAAAGGAACTTTCTGGTTAAAAACCTTTTTGGCCAAAACCTCCCTTAAGAGGTTGTCACCTGCCACAGCTAGTTTTTGGAGATTTTAATTGTAGTTTCTGTCTTTAAAGATGATCTTTGGTGATTGTTGTACCAGAGTTGTTCCTTTTTATCATCCCCAATGCTTAAAAACACTTTTCTTTGTTGTATCTCTAGTGAAATGATGTATGGTGCAGTTTATGCTTTCTTATAATGTTTCCATAGAATATAAAGGAAGCCTTTCCTTTGTCTGTATCATCCATCTGTTCCCTGTGCTTCTTCTCTGTGTCCTGTGACTAACTGGTGCCTCATAATTTACAACCGGAGTCCAGGTCTCATGTAATCAAGATGTTTAGGAATAGTTAATGTATGTTGTGTAAGTACCTCTTATCCCTATATAAGATGTGCTCAAACTGAAAAACTGGAAGGACATTATTGGCAGATGTCTCCCAGCGTTGTTCGATACTGGTGTTGTCTTTGTGATTAAGTTGTACATAACAAGCAAGCCAGCGTCATGAAGTCTGCTTCTGCATCTACACATTACAGACGGACGAGAAATAACATCTTCAAAGACGGTTTTATGTTCAGGTGTCCCTGTATGTAAATGACTTTTTCTCCTTCATGCTTACATCCATATGTGTGCAGCTTTGACCTGTGTGTGTGGCAGTGGTAGACTGCTGCTTCATTTGTTTGTCTAGGGGTTGTTTTCTTCAGCATATGGATGAGTAAGGGTGAGGATAAATCACGCTGGTTTCAGGTCCACATGGTCATGAGGACACTTTATTAGCTGTCAGCAACACACACAACAGGTTTCTCCTGTTGAACTCAGGAGGTCTGACATGCCATTCGCATGTCAATACTCACAGGAATGACAGTGGCTCAAGTGTCTAAAGTCTACCATTTCTCATCAGCTGAGCAGCAGAGAGACATCCAGAGCTGTGCTTTGCAGAAAAGTGAGATTATCAAAGGTTTGTTGACTCTCAAGGTAACATTTTTGCAAGACTCTTTCTGAAGCTGTGGGTTCTGTTTGGTAGATTTGGGGGGTGTTGCTAGGGGACCACCACAGGAAAAATTTAGAGCATGAAACCCTTTACTTCAGTGTTTTGGTTAATTTCAGTGTAAAAATCCGCCTAAAAATGTCTGCATTTTTGCAAGTCAAACCAAAATGATCTTATTTCATTTAAATAACAAATAGTCTGCATGCCTTGCTTGAATTTTCACATTTTTGCAGGTTTTAGGCTTCAGCTAAACTTTCAGGGATGTCACATGTTTGTGTATGTGTACTGTGATTGATGGCTATCACATTTTTTCCTGATAATGTAAGAGCAGCTTGTCCGATATAGACTCATTAGGACTCCCCCACAAACAAGCGGCTGCTGGAGGAGAGTGGGCAAGTTGTGTTTAGTCTCATTGCTAAAGAAAGCAGGCAAAGCTAAAAAGATATTTGAAGGCTAGTACTATGGCTGGGACCCTATATGTACTGTTGATGAAGTTAGATTCTGTTCTGAGCATTATTTGTGGCTATAGACTGGCTGGTTGAGGTTTGCGCGTGGAGACGTAAACCGCCGTGTATTGCTATTGTGTGGTTGTTGCTGAAGTGTGTGTAACTACATTCATCCCTCGAGGGGTTGCCTAACTCAGTGTTACGGTGCATTTTGACCATAGTTTAAAAATATTATGCTGGAATATCCCTTTAAGTCACATACTAGCCCTCAAGCTCTCCATCATGCACATTCAGTCTGATGAGCACTCTCAAATACAAACATGCACGTGCAACAAAAGAGCTAAAACCTTGACCAATTCTCACTCTGAATCTGTACAGCTTTACAAATAGTGAGTGAGTATCTGGTGGTTTGGTGATAAACATGACCTGACATTGTTTTCTCTCTCTTCTTTTGCAGATGGCAACCTCCTATAGATGGCTATGCTTTGCTAAGTTAGCCGCCTTGGGCCTTATCTGCTCTGTTGTCACTTTCTGCCTGTTTTTTGAGCCTCCGTTCAATGTTTGTCAATTTGTGGAACATTTTGATAGTGTGGATACTCAAGAAAAGCCTATACTCCTGCTGTGGTTCTGGCCTCTTGGTGTGAAGTTTGATCTTAAAGCTTGCTCCATCCACTACAACATGGATAGCTGTGTTTTGACAGATAACAGAGCACTCTACAGCAAAGCTCAAGGAGTCGTCTTCTACCATAAAAACATAGCCAGCAATATGAGCAACATGCCCAAAGATCCCCGTCCATCTTTTCAGAAGTGGATCTGGTTTCATATGGAATCTCCGACAAATACAGCAAATAAATTAGGAGTGAACAACTTGTTCAACTTAACATTGAGCTACAGAAGAGACGCCAGCATCACAGTGAGGAACGAGCTCACCATCAGGGAAACGGAGAGTGAAGAGGATTTCATTCCACCTAAAAAGACCAGACTGGTTTGTTGGATCGTCAGCAACAAAAGACAGAAAACTGGGGCAACTGTGAGAGAAAGGTACTACGCAGCGCTGTCCAAACACATAAAGATCGATCTTTTTGGTATTGCTCACACTGGGCACAGGTTGAGCGATGAAGAATATTACCCAACCATTGGGAGCTGTAAGTTTTATCTGTCTTTTGAGAACTCCATTCACAGAGACTACATCACTGAGAAGGTGAACGGGCCCCTTGTGGCAGGGACTGTCCCTGTGGTTTTGGGTCCTCCACGACCAAACTACGAGCAGTTCCTTCCCTCTGATGCTTTTATTCATGTCAATGACTTCCCAAACCCAAAGGCACTGGCGGAGTTTCTTCTCGCTTTGGACAAGAATGAAACGGCGTACAGGCGTTACTTTGAGTGGAGGAAGCACTTCTCTGTGACTCCTCATCTCCTGTCAATCAAGAATGAGTTCATTCAGCCCATCTGCCTCGCCTGTGACCACATCTCCAGAGACAAAGATTATCATATTGTTCATAACCTTTTAAAGTGGCATAAGTCATAGAAATCAAATCAGTCGTCAAAGATCCTCTATGGAGTTTACTTGCATAAAAATTAGACATATTGAAACCAAGTTAATAAGCTCCCTGCATATGTGATATGAAGCTGTAGCAGCAAACACAATATGGTGACCATGTATTTATTACTACTGGTAAAGTACTGTTTAGTTTATGTACATACTCTAAAGTACAGATATGAAGGTAGGCATTGAGCCAGAGATGAGGAACGACAAAAACGGCTGGTTCAGCTTGTCTTACTGGATTCATCTTTCATAAAACATTGTGCATGTTGGATATAAAGAGTGATGCTTGAGAGCTAGTTCAGACAGGCAATGTAAAAAGATGAAAAATGATTTTTAAAAAAACATGTCTGATTCGATGTGTTTTAATCATGTGGTGTTAACATAAATGAGGCTTTGTCAGCCATTTACTCGATGAAATGAGATTTATCTTTTAGCAATTATAAATCATAAAGGTACAAGTTCTTTATGCTGAGTGATGCCTGAGTGCTAGTTCAGGCAGGATATTTGACTTTTGCAGAACAAAACATATAACATAGCAAACATATATGCAGCAAAACAATGCATAGGAGACAGGATGAGATCTGGAGAGCAGCCCGGGCGTCTTTATTGCACTGATTTATAAATCAGTACAGATGACAAACTGAGTCTTAACCAACCCAGAAGAAAGGAGCTCTAGGCTATCCTCTCACTCACTTTTATGCTACTGAGTGTGTTTCTGAGTACCATAATTGTGTGTTACTTGTGTACTACAAAAGTGGGCTTTTTCATATGTGTATTGCATTGTGTTACAACTTTGTGACTCTAATGTGTGTGTGTGTGTGTGTGCGTGCATGAGTCCACTACATGTGTGTGTGAGTGCGAGCCTTTCCTGTCATGATACTTGACCGAGGTTATCCAAGGACATGTATCACTGTTCTGAAATTCATCATTTGTTTGGATTATTTTAACTTTTCCTGGAAGTCGTTAATTGGCCCTTGACTGTCTTGGCAGACTGAGATAAGTTCTGGTTCTTGCAAAAGAGCCTTGCATGCAACGTTGTGAGGCCACACAAGCAACCCTTAAACCCTTAAAAAAAGATCATTCATATACATTACTTTACATTTAATACATGGTGACATTCTCGTTCACAAGTTATCCAGTCCCTGCCTCTGCTAAGTGCTGCACTCAGACTTTTAGCCCCTCCTCCTCCTCCTCAACATCCACCTGAAGGTCCTGATAAGGTTGGCTGCAGATATCATCTGATTATTTCTTTATGCAAAAATTGAAACTGTGAGGAAGTTCAAGGCTGGACACTAAATACATATGCTGCTGCAATTAACATTTCAAACTGTTTAAATGTCTGCTGTCTGAATCTATATTTTGCATATATATATATATATGAATTCAGGTGTAACTTTGAGTGTTACTGTCTTCTCTGTTCTACTAATCTGATCAACAATAAATACATAAGACTACATTGATGCATGCTTAAGCTTTCATTCTCTGACATTTCAAGCATTACCTGATTGGTAGGGGGGGCAGGGGGGCGTGGTATCGGTCAAATGACAAATCTGAAGTCATCTCCAGCAAAGGACACCAGCAAGACCAGCCGGTTTTACTTGCCAGTTGTCAAACCTGCGCAGGTTCACTCTGAAACACCTACATACTCACTTCACAGGCAGCAACATCACTAAGAGTTCCAATGGACGCGTGAGTATCTAATCAAAGTTTCTGCCTGTTTTACGCTTTGCTGCTTTCTCCCTTCTCTCAAAGAGGGATTTTGTAGTCTCTGTGTCAGGCTGTTTGTCTCCATCTTTCGCTCTCTTTGTGTACTTGAGTGCTTATTATCATCAGATAGCTGTAGAAAACCTGTTTGAACAATGAATCTGATCGTCTTAAAAGGACATTTTTCCCTGCCGAATACTTGTTTTGGTGGATTAATGTTGGGGTCCTTTAAAGTGTCTAGTAAAGAGTACAGGACTGTGCTCTTTTTACACTAAATCTGGGGTTAACTTTGCAGGAAATCTGCTGGTTTTGGATTCCAGTTACTACTATACAATCATGATTCTTTCCTTCTCTTAAGTCTGTGATAACTTCTTTGTCAACATTATGCTGAGGTTATATATTGCCAGTGATTTAATGCAGGGTTCTTCTGTCCTTGCAGGTATAAGAAGACATGTGCTCCTGTTATTAAGACCATTCAGACGGTCATTATTATACTTGCAGGATTTATAGTTCTGTTTTTGATGTTCTATAAGTCACTTCCATCTAAAAGATGCCCCCCTCCCATAGCTCTCCCAGAGCCCTGGGGGAAGAAAGCAACTTTTCAGAGCATGGCAATGGTTAAAAAACCTCCAAACAGCACAGCAGATGCACAAAAGACACAGAAACCAGTAATGCTGCTTTGGTTCTGGCCTGAAAACAGAAGATTTGATCTGCAATCTTGTGACACGCTGTTTGGGATTGACAGCTGTCACCTAACAGACAACAGATCCTTGTACTCCAGCGCACATGGACTTGTGATTTTTCACAGAGGCATCCAGGACGATCTCTCCAATCTTCCCACTTCTCCTAGACCGAAGTTTCAGAGGTGGATCTGGTTTAATACAGACTCACCCTCCAATACCCGCAGGATAGCAGGCATCCAAGGCCTCTTTAATCTAACTTTGGCCTACAGGAAGGATGCAGACATCCAGGCTCACTGGAAACTGTCTGTCAGGAAGAACACGGACCCTCGTTTCCAGCTGCCAAAAAAGGAGCGCTTACTTTGTTGGACTGCTGATAGCAAATTCCCCCACATGAAATCAAATCAGAGCTACAGTTACTACAGAGAACTCTCAAAACACATCAAGGTGGATGTCTTTTACTCTGCAGAGTTCTCCAAAAGTGAGGACTATTTCCTTACCATCAGCAGCTGCAAATTCTATCTTTCATTTGAAGGTTCAATCGACAGAGACTACATCACAGAGACTTTCAATGGGCCTCTTGTGGCTGGTGCTGTGCCGATAGTCATGGGCCCGCCAAGACTGAACTACGAGGATTTCTACCCAGGTTCCTCCTTTATACATGTAAATGACTTTAGTGATGCCTCTAAATTGGCCAAGTTCCTCCTAAAGCTGGATAAAGACTATAAGAGTTACATTAAATACTTTGGTTGGCGGTATGCCTTCACCGCCAGGCCCCACCCTATTGAGGAGAACTATGAGTTTGCACATGCTATCTGCCAGGCCTGTCAGTACCTGAGTGTGAACAAAGTTTACAGAGTGGTACCAGATCTCTACAAGTGGTTCTTTTAGTTGCAGTTTTATTAATTTGCTGTTGCAATGTTTGACTTAACTTAGTCACTTTTGGTGCCACATTATCCTTTAAAGCTTCTCTGAGCAACCGTCAGTCAGTGTCTGTTTTGGCGCCCCCTTTGGACCTAAATTTACCTCTTATCTCTGATTAAAGTTGTTGTGCTTTTTAAACATGAAACCTCCTCTTTCGGAGGTTTTCGGGCTGTCATTATGTTAGATTTACACTAAGTTATGATATATTAGGACAACAATATCATCATGATATTTTTGGAAAACGTAAACTTAAAAACATAATCAGTCAAACTGAGGAACGGCAACACAGGGTTCAAGTAACACATCACTTTACGAACTATACGTATTAACTCATATGACATCATTTATTTCTTATGATGTGTAAATTTGTGATTTTTCCACATCAGCAGCCGTGTGACTGAAACTTCTTTAAAGAAGACACTGCCTCATTAAATTAATGTTTGTCATGCTTTTATTTTGATATTTACTGTCCTGTTTTTGGGCGGCTTTATTTCCTGCATGTTAGAACTAGACTTTTATTTTTAAGTATTTAACATAAGTTATGTTTCTGGATGAAAACTGTTAAAACATTTTAACAGGCAAAAGCTCAAATGTTTTGTTTTTCTGATTTCACAATGAATTTTGGGATGTCAAATATTTTAAAGTACGTTTCATCTCTGGGAAGATGCTACAGCCAGTTTGCTAGCAGCTGATTCTCTGAATTTCCCTTAGGGGATAAATAAAGTTTTTTTTCTTCTCCTTCTGGTTTCTCCTTTATTTTTTGATGTGGTAGCCAGTCCAAAATTTCACTGCTTTGAAGCCATAGTTTTACTGTATGCTTACTTTTTCGTACAATATCAGTATTTATATATTTTTGATATGGAATTTTTCCTTTTCCGTCATTTATTTTCATTTTTCTTACTCAATTTTACAAGCAGCATCTTGGGTCATGGGGCTTATTTCTCACTCTGAGAAGAATACTGCTACTTGTTTTTTTCTTTATTACGTATAAACAGATTACTCAGGGATCCAATTAAAAAAAGGATAAAGAAACTTTTGATATTTTATCAGATGTGTGTTTAATCTACTTTCTCATCATAAAAAGGAGTTTAGAACTCTGATTAACCTGTTTCCTGTTTTACTGTAACAGTGAATGACTGTAATGACTTCTCCCTCTTGGCTTCATAAATTAAGAAGTGATTCAGAGTCCAAATTACAGCAGATCTACTTTGGTGTTCAGCATCATTGGGTATTACTACAAACACCTCCAGGTGAGACCAGGTATGAGAGGAAAAGAGGGGAACTGAGTCAGTGTGTCTTTTCATGATAGCTTATATAATAATTGATTAAACCACCATGACTCAGCTCTTGTTAGTTGGCTTAATTTCATTTTAAAACTTTTCAATTTGGCTTTGAGTCAGCACCATGTTGGGTGATTTTAGAAAAGGCTCTGGGTGGTCAGTTGGGTCAGGCTCTATTGCGTATTGCTAACTAAGCCAAAACAGCTTGTGAAACCTGGTGGACTTGCTTCTTAAATCTCAGTTTAAAAAGTTAGTATTAGGTAAAAAAAAGAGCACATATGGGGTCTTATGAAAGAGGCAAGCATCAAATGTGGTGCTATTTTTTTTTACTTACCAGAAAACGAGGATGCTGTTTTCTTTGAGGTTATTTGGTACAATAAACCACACGTTAGGGTCAATTTAGGGTCAAGTTTCTGGGAGGTTTAAAGGATCTTAAACCTGGTTGGTGTCAAACAGTCCAACAACTGAGAGCTCTGTATTAGCTTTTCTGTTAACATTAGTATACGTCCAAAAATAGCATCAACACAAAACAAAGGAAAATCCATCTGAAAAGGAGACTATAGATCACAGACAAAAGAGGCCATGAAGGTCGAACTATAGCTTTAAAATACTTCCCGGTTAGCCCATGTTGCTGCTAGCTAAGGTAAAATCCAGCAGATTATTTGAGATGATAAAAGTTTCAAAAGTGATAACATTTAAATCTGGGCATGAAAAGTACAATAACTCTGCAATATAATTATCAAGTTACATCTTCCTTCATGGAGACATAGATCAAACAAAATACAGACTGAAAAGAGAGTCCAGTCAGCCAACACCTGGTGGAAGGTGGTGCATTCAAGCATGTGAGTTAAAGAGCAATGATTGGAGGCCAAAGCAGACAATCTCATATCTAATATAGCATATTATTTTAATCAGCTCAAGTACATCCTACTTAGCTGGTTTAAAAAAACAGCAGAGAGAGGATCAAATAAGAAGCAATGGAGGGTTTCAATGAGAGGTGGAAATGAGAAATGCTCTCAAGCACACAGCAAGCCATGGTATTTGTTTAATATTTGCATAAAATGGTTTCCAAAAGGCGCCAGTAGCACAGACAATGAAGTTAAATCTCAAGCTTGAATTGACTTTGTTAATTTTTAGCAAACAGCTCAAGTATCTACTTGTCACCCATGTACTTATAAACATAACTTTAACCTTGATCAATGTAAAGCTCCTGTAAGGTCATTGTAGCTAGAGTCCATTTTTGTGGAAAAATTAGTCTTTGCTTGCCTCATCTTTTATATAATTCAAAGCACAAACATAAATTATTCTATTTAGAGGCAAAAATCCAAACGCATAATTATTCAGAGAATTCATAAATTAAATGGCTTTCAATTTTAATATGTGATTAGACTGATTAACTTCTATGTGCAGTGACCATTTTTACTGTACTAGGCTGTAAATAGATTTAATTCTCCTATACAGCTGGATTTTTTATATGGGGCCTGGTGCCTATAGACTCCTTGATTTCTTATTTAACTTTTTGCAAAGGAGGGAGCAAGCATTTGAATGATTACGAGGAAGTGTTAAATTAATAGATTTACAAGCTTTCATTTTTAAAATCTCTAAAATTTTTAAGTCTAGCTTTGGATTTGTTTGAGGGATATTTATTCCTTAGACCAAGCCATCCTCATCTGTAAAAAAGTTTAAATTTAATCCCCAGAAAGTTTAGCCATCAATATCTGGCACATCTACAAAAAGTGTTCAGATAGGTGAGGTTCATGAGCAACAAGGTTAAATAACTCTGCGCAGTAGTCTTTAAACCAATATTTTTTTTGTTGCAGGGTTGGTGTCAAACAAGCATGCTGCTCAAACCACTTTCTACTTTTTTATCAATGAGAGTTTTGAGTGGGTGATTAAACTGTCAGGCAAAAGAAACAAGGATTTATGTCTTTGTTGGCATAAAACACACATGCCTGCAGGACAAAAGCTGCAGATTTTGAGATGCAATGAGCTAATTTGACCAAAGGGGGCGATAAAATCATCAAAAGTTCCTCACAGGAGCTCTTGGTGTTAACAAGTATCTAATATAAAAAAAATTTGGTGCTTTTTGTGTCAAAATCATAATTATGTTGTGTTTTTTTTATTTCATAGTTATTGTTATGCATTAAAATGAGCAGAAACAAGTTCGTGAATGAGCTCAACCATGGTAAAGTGCTGACAAAGAAGCACTTTAGCCACATTGGAATAGTTTCACCTTTTTTAAAATAATATGTAAGGTACATTATATCTTAATATGTATTTGTGAATCCTTTTGAACTCCCTTCTTCCTGAATTCTGACTAACTTTCGGTCAGCGAGTAAACTGTGCTGAATGAGTTACTGGAATGCTGTTTGTTTCGACCCTATTCATTTCCTCGGTGTCCTTCTCTTGTTTTCTAAGGGGGTAACTTGTAAACTAACTTGTTTTACCTGTTTCCCTCTCCAGACTCACCAAGTGTATGAACTCGTCTGGTTTAGCCACTGACAAAGGCCGTTTCAGCAGCAGCTCGGTGAGCTGTCATGAATATTTATGCTCTTCGTCCATTTTAATCCCATAGTGTTTGAGTGTTTCCACCTGGGGGCGGAAGCTGCTCTCTCCCAGCTACGGCCCTGGATGGGGCGCGTGTTTGTGACTCGTGCGCGAGTGTTTGCAGTGTAGCTTAAGTACCGTGGACAGCGGCAGGCGGACCGCACATTTCAGCCAGCAGAGGAACTTGAACGGAGCGCTTTTTATTCACAAAAACATATCCATCCGCAGAGCAGCTGGACCCCTTCTCAGGTTTATTTACTTAACGAAGTTTCCTTCCTCCTCCGTACTCTTCTTGGACCTACTTTTGTGAATAAACGCGCTTTTCTTAACCGGGTATGAAGCTGTAGATCCACCTCGTCTTCGGAGCGCCGACAAGCGGGGCTCCTCTTTCTCTACGCCCCCTCTTCCGTCCACCTTCTCCTGCTGGAGCTGGAGAGATGCCCGGGGCAGGATGTGCTCCAGCCGCAAGATCCTGTGGAGCCTGCTCCTGCTGTCAGTGGTGGAGGTGGGCCTGGGTGTGGCAAGCATCGTGCTGGGAGCAGTGGGAATCAGCTGGGTCCGGGGCCACTATAAGCCGCAGCAAGGGGACGCGTCGCCGGTGTGGAGCGGACTCTGTGTACGTCCAGGGGATAACTTTTTTTTTCACTTTTTCATAATCAATTCCAAGGACGACTGCTTATTTCCTTTTGTTGTGGCATGCTGTCAGGATACTTGAATATGTTTTATAGATAAATATATTAAGGAAAAAGCATGAAATAAGATCGTTTCAGTGGGATTTAGGCTGCAGGGTAGCTAAATACTCTTTAAATTAAAAATTAATCAAGTTTTGAGATTATATTCTCAAAAACAAACCTTTCAATTTGGCAAGTAATCATCAAAGAAAAAATAAAGTTCAGAGTTGAAATCAATAAAAGCTCTCAGCAGCTTGTAAAGTCCAGAGATGTTCATTATGTTTCTCTATAATGTCATTATCTAGAGAAATAAACAGCCTCTTCCATTAGTGAGTCCAGTAACATTGGTTTTTATTTACATGCACAGAGTGTTTCCCAGTGCTGAGGAGGGTCAAAGCTTTTACGCACAATCATCCCCCCTCCTGTTTCACTTCTCTCACCCTCTCACTGTCTTGATTTTTCCGCTGAGCAATGCAAAGTTAGGTTTCTGTCATTCTTGGTAGCTATATATAAATACAGCCTTGAATCACCCCCTTTACTATAGCTGCTGCTGCTGGAGCAGGGGGAGCTGCCTGTTATTGCAATGAATTAGTGGAAGTGCCCAGAGCTCAGCAATTACATGAGTCATGATAATATATCTGCATTCAATGTTTTGCAGCGCACTAAGTTTGAAATAACTTGTCAAGTTTGTGCATATAATTTTAGAAGTACATTAGATAGAATTGAAGAAGAAAACAAAGACTTGAGTGACATAGATGTCTTATATTTTAGTGGGTTTGACTGGGTGCAAATCTCTGCTAAGCTGCACTGGGATGTGGCACTTGTGTGTTTAACCTCACAGTCGTGTAAAGCCGTCTGCTGAGTCAGCCACTCATGTCCTGTGATTACCAAAAGGTGTGGATCTCCTGATGGGACCTGAGACTGGCTGATAGCAGTATAGGCTGACTGGATGACTAACCTTTGATTAAAGGTGCAGTCAAGCTGATGTCAGCAAACATTGAGAGGTAAAAAAAAACAAAAAACAGTGTCTTCAAGCGTGGCATCACTTCGTTCAGTTATTAAAGGTTTGATATTGTGATCCAGCACTGTCTAAAGCTCTGTGAGGAGATTTTTGACATTCATGAAATAGACTGAAATTCATACTTAGGCCTTTTTATGATATGCAAAAACAAACAAGACCATCAGTGTCAAGTGTGATTATTTTATACTGCAATTTTAATGCCTAAAACCAGTGTGAGGGGGTAGGTGTCAGCCAGCAGCTCAAGAAACAGCCTGTTTTTTATTTATTTATTTATTTTACTTAAAATATGTCCAATAAATAGGTCATTGAACTGCCTAAAAGCATTAGGATGAGTTTTTTTTTTTTTTGTCCACAGGAGGCATCAAAGTTGACTTAAACAGGAGCTTTAATTTAATCTACAAATGCAGCAGTTATAAATTCCAGGAGTTTAACTTCCTTTTAATTTGAAAATCTTAATGTAATGATACATTTAAAGAGAACATAGGACCCCAGAGTCCTTTAACTTTGCCTTAAACTTCACCATTGGATCAACGCCAAAGATGAATAAATGAATAAAAATACAACTGAAAGATCAGGGTGGACTCTGCTAAAAATCCCTGGAGCTTCTATTATGATAATTAAGGTAAACAAACCTCTCTTTGACTGACCAGCAAGAAAGAGTTTTTTCTTACATATTGTATAATAAATAAACGTATAACTGTGTGAAAGAGCTTAAAAGATTATGTATGACATAGAGAAATCAAACAGTCTCCTTATGAAAAGGAATAAAAATATACACAGATGCAGACACACAGTGATGGATGTATCTAAAGTTTTCAGCAGAGGACTCAGCTCACAGCTCATTGTCTTGCTCCATTGTGCCGTGAGTGTAATCTACCAACACAACACACCGCCCTGCTGCTCCCACTCAGTCTGAATCAGTGACATCCAGGACAACATGGCCTCCTGCTGCAAGCCCACGATGACGCTCTATTTTTAGAGGGAGAAAATTGCATCTGAACTAACTGAGTGTAAAGAATCCATTCACCCTTCCTGTTGTGATCACTGGGGGGAAGTGATAAAAATAACAAGCATTTCATCCAGTTTTCAGACCTTTATTTTCTTTAAAACACAGCAAGAAAGTTTGAAAGTGTTAACGCATTTGCTCTCTTTTCAGTTCCTGGTCTGTGGGATGTGCGGAGTGCTGTGTGCTCGAAAGAGGACGGGGCTTATTGTAAGTACTTTTTTGTCTGATTTTTTTATTTTTTATTTCCTATCTTTTTGGACCCTGTAGCTGCTTTTGTGCCTTTATGAAAAAAACCCTTTCTTCTTTTTGGCTCATGTTTCTTTACACACATTCCTGCTGGTAATTGCTCATTTGCTGTACACGTGCCGCTGGTTTCCTGCTTTTCGTCCTTATTACTTAAAATTACACAGCTGTGTTTTAAACTTGATTCTGGTTGGTTATCGCTCCTAGTTGTAGTTGAATTTAAGAACAAAAAGTCAAAATAATGAGATAAAAAGTTGTAATGATTTGAAAAAAAAATTTAAAATTATGGATGGTAATAATTATCATGGGGAAAAACAACGATGAGGTTGAAGGTTAAATTTATTAAATAGAAAATAATAACTAGAAGGTCCTAAGTCATAGTCATGACATCGTGGTGAAAGTATGAGAAACTTGAAATTTGTGATCCAAGGTCAAAATAATGAAGTAAAAAAGTCATAATCATGAGACTTGGAGTCAAATTTGAGATATTTTAAGTCAAAATTTTGAGATCCTTGGTCAAAATCTTGAGAAGAAAAGTCAAAGTTATGAGGTGATGAGTCAAACTTATGAGATGAAGAACTAAAATTGTGACATCTCAGCTCAGATATATAAGAAATTTTAAATTCAGAGATCCTTGGTCATAACCCTGAGGTCTCAATTCATAATTTTTTAAGATAAAAGTTATAAAAAATCAATACAATGAGACAAAAAGTCAAAGCTATAAGATCCTGAGTCAAAATTAGATAAAAAATCAAAATTGAATGAAAGTCAAAGTAATGAGATGAAAAGCCTGAATTATGAGTCTGTCAAAAACAATTCCATAATAATGAGATTAAGACTAAAATATTTACCCTATTATCTGAAAAGTATGACTTTCATTCCATAATTTGACTCTGTCTATCAGAATTTCAACTCACTTTCTCATATCCTCTCATGTCTCATTATTATCACTAACTTTCTCATAATTTGACCTTTATTTGATATTTTTGACTATTTATTTCATACTTAAATAACTTTTCATTTTACATTTCAGATGAAACTTATAATTTGACTCAATGTTTAGGATCAAACTTTTACGAAGGATACATATCTCATTTATAATATCTAATAATAGTATATCAAATAATGATGACTCAGAAAAACTTCATCAGGTGCTGACTCATGCAGTCTTGTTAACTTTTATTATCTTAATTTCCTATCATCACTGGAAATATTAAACTCATGAGCTAGTTTTGCTCATTTTAAGAAGACCATAGGACAGACTGATACTGCTGCTGTGGACTCTTGGCTCTAATCTGCTGCACTTTCCTGCTCACTACAGGATATTATCTCTTATACATTACACATTATTGTTGCTGGTGGTCTTTTTATTCTTCTGGAGGTCACACAAAGACATGAATATTAATTTCAGTTTGTTTCATAACCAGCTAAAAACTCATTACAGCAGCTCTATGCTAAGTTAGCTCGCTGGTGGTAGTAGCTTTGATTACATCTTCCAACCCCAGGCATCAATATTTCCCAAAATGTAGACGGTATGATTTTACAAACATTACCCCTCTCACAAGTGACGACTGGGCTCGGAAATGATCCTGTTCTTTGAGCCTTCTGCGGTCTTTGCCTTACTTTTGTTTGACGTTATCAGTTGTTGCTTTTGATCATGAAGATTCTCATAATTTGTGAGTTGTTTTTCACTGTAGTGATGTTAGCTCCTCTAAAATCCAAGAGAAGTAAACATCAACTAATACTGACAGCATACATGTCTGCACAATCACGCCTTGAAGTTTACAAGCAAAGACATGTGATTGACATGTGTGCAGTGGAGGTACAGACAGTCTGGTCTGAAAAAAACGACATCTGAGAAAACCAAAGGAGACAAGCAGTCACGTCTCCTCTCCTCTCCTCTTTTCTCTCAGCCCCTCTTTGCGTCCAAGTCCTCGTGTTTCTCTCCGACTCTCTCTGTCTCCTGCAGGGAGGGCACTAATGACGGATCAATGTCAGCGCAATCTGCTGTAACGGAGACATCCCTCAACCTTCCTCTCTCTCTGTCTCACCCTGTTTATCCTCACCTTTTGTCCCTTCTCCATCAGTCTCATGTATCTACCTTTCATCACTCTTCCTTTCCTGCTAAATCTCATCCTCACAGTTGTCTCTAAGCTCTGATTCGCTCCATCTTTCTCCCCTTGTGTGCTCCTATGTACTCCCTCCTTGTCAGCCTATGGGGTGATGATTGCATTAGGTCGGTTTGGCCCCGGACTCCTGCCAGCTGCTTTCCACACTTCGCCGGGGTAATGACTGAAATTGGAGACGCCTTTTTTCCATGTGGTTGCAGGGCACTAAAGACATCTGCACTGGAAGCAATGAAAGAGAATCCAAACTATAAACACAATACACTCAAACACCTGCACACCCAACAAACAGAGAGTAGATGTGAAGTGACTGAGAGGTAACAAAGCTGCAATAGTTTTATTCCTGCACTGGATTTACACTAAAGGTTAAAATCTTATAGATCCAGCAAGTGAGTGATGCAGGAAAATTTACGGGTCCTATATTTCCACAAGAGACAGTGCACTCCGAGGGCAATCAAATTTTCTAATAGGAAATCAGATTTATTTTGACTGATAAGCGTTACTCATCACAGCCACTGTCGCCCAAACAGCCAGATAATGGAGACGGAAGCTCAATAGCAGTCTGTTTATCTCCCGTCTCATTACATTTTGTCGGTTTGTTTACAGTTTTGTTGATGGGATATCAATTCTGCAGTTTTCATTAACATAAACCATTCTTTGTGTCCCTCAGATGATTCTATTTTCAGCCTGCTGTATCTGCGGTCTCATCGGCGGGATCCTCAACTTCCAGTTTGTTCGGGCGCTGAACAAACGTCCAGAGTCCATGCACTCCATACATCTGGCAGCCATGACACTAGCATGTCTAGGTAAAGTACAATGACACCATAAAACACTTAGTGATGCCAGGTTTTTTAAATGATATAATCGTGCAAATATAACGAAGGAAGGATTTTGAACATATGATACTGAATGCAGTGGCGTAACATCACGGTGATAGGCCCCGGTGCGAGTATTTTTTTTTGTGTGCCCCCACCCCTGTACTAAACAAAAGCGTACACCATACACACAGCCACTATAGAGAACTGCTATTGTTGCCATGTAGGCTTACAACCTGAACACACTGCACTTTTTCTTTCATTTTATTTATTTTTGCCACTGGCTTCCCTGTTTGTGTCATTTTGAGGAGCAGGAAGGCTAAATATCTCTGCTGCTCTACTCTGCTCATGCTGCTTTCTCTCCCTGTGCCACCGAGAAAAACTTCACTTCCCTGCCTGCCACTTATTTCTGTAACTTTGATGCACGTTGTGTTTTCACCAGTTTCAATCTTATTTGTATCACAATCGATAAGCAAATGTTTATTATGGCAGCTAAAAGAAATGCACAACAGTAAACCACATTAAGTTCTCAAGTCAGCTGCCAATCTGCAGGGGGATGACGCGTGTCATAAACTGGAGGACAAAAATGTACACAGACAAGAAAGCAGATGGCAAAAAGAAAAGAAAGAGGCAGAGCAGGTCGCGGCACATTGTCATAAAGGAAATACATCCACCAGCGATCAGCACCAGGGAGAGCTCCCCCGCTGCTGATTTTTAATTTTTTTTTCCTCCCACCTTCGTGAGCGCCAGAAGGCTTCTGGCCCAAGTGCAGTTGCACCGGTTGCACCACCAATATTTACGCCTGTGACTGAATGGCTGTCATTAGACTGTCATATGTCAGTCTGGGGTACTTAGAGAACCAAAAACCTCCTTTTTTACTGAAACCCTGAGCTTGTGGGTGCTATTTTTTTACACAGCTTTGTTTATCACAAAAGGGGCAAAAAAGTTATGCCTTCACAGAAAATTTGTAAGGCTAATAGTTTGCACCTACTTGGCTCCCATTCAGCTGCTTTAGGATTGTCAGAGCTTCCATGTGGGCTCTTCTTTCAGCATTGTCCTTAGAAGATGGCGCAACCTGAATCAGGTTTAGGCTGTGTCTGTATACAAACTGTTAAAGACGAGTCAATAAAGACACATTTGGGGATGTTCTTAAAAGTTATAAAACTTTTCCAACTGGTGTTTTGGATAGACCCCACTGCAGTAATGGCAGCTTGTTAACTTCCAGTGCTTTGTCTGATTGATCTGCACTGCTACTTAACCCACCTTGCTCCCAGTGTGTGTGTCCTCCACTGGTGTATGACTGTGAGTGTCGTGTGGTGGTGGTCGGAGAGGCCGTAGGCGCAGAATGGCAGCCACGTCTCCACCACCACCAAAGTGTGACTGTGTGAGCGAATGAATGATGTATCCAATGTAAAGCGCTTTGAGGGTCTCTGATAAAGCGCTATATGAAATCTGATGCATTATTATTATTATTATTATTATGCCTACTGTTCCTGCACTTTATTTACTGATGAGCTTGAACCTTGTTTTTCTCTTATTGTCTGTACTCTGTCTTTTAATCATGTATTATTTTTAAGATGTGTGCTGCTGACCTTGTGGCCAGGTCCTCCTTGTAGAAGAGATCTTGATCTCAATGGGTTATTACCCATAAGGTCATATAAAGGTCAAATTTTAAGAGTAAAACTCATCACAACTGTTGCATCTCAGCCTCTATAACTGGGAGGCACCAATGTCAAATATTTCTCTGTAAATCAAATGTCACAGCACCAGAAAAGCTTAGTGTATCAGGCAAACTTGACTTTGGCGCCCCTTGTGGAGAAAGTCCGAACCCTCATAATATTGTTGATTTTGTTTCACCCTTTAAAATTGTTGTAAAAATAGAGAAGTAACATGAGGTTTTTGGCATAGGGGGGATATGTATGTGAGGAGCCAGGGAATGGTGCTTGAAAAGAGACTTTTTGACAGCAGGGAATGGTGAGATATTTCTAAACAGATCGTACATTTAGGCTGGATTATTGTTTTAGTTTTGAGCTCAAAATATGCCAAATTATGTAGTCGAGTTGAAGCTATCTGCAGCAGTTGGCAGCTTGGCTTTTGTCCTGGTGCTTCAGCTGGTTTCTAAATTAAGTTTTTTTTTTCTCTCTCTTCTGTCCAGGGATCTCCTCTTGTACTTTATCCACATGGCTCACCTGTCGACTGGCCAGCTCGGAGCAGCAGAGGATGTTTTTGGAGAGGGAGCACTCACTGCACCACTCACACGAGATGACTGAGAAGGTAGGACAGCAATATGAAGCTGGACTCTCTGTATACAAGATGCTTTATTGTGCATGGCCTCAGTTTCCTCTATCAATGAAAAACTTTCCTACTGGGCATCAAAAATACTTTGACAGCTTGATTTTCACTATACCCACATTTCCAGCCATTATCTGGGCTGTTGCAGCACAATGATTCCTGCCCTTTCTGTCCATCAATATAATAATAATCGTGTTTTTCTCTGTGTCTGAATAGGAGATCCTGGACAACTCCAGTAATGGCATTCCTCAGATCTCTTATAACGGACACATAGCAGCATCACCGTGAAGTTGTGCCCACAGTGGCAGCCTGCACAAACTGAAACAGAGACATGAATCAGGCGACAAATGAAGCATGCACTTCTTTCTTTCTATCCTGCAGCCTACACTGTAACTATATCCTGACTGCAGGGACTAATCGGAGCTGAACCAGACCGCTCTCTTTTTATCACCGGAGTGTAAGAGGGACACGTTGACAACAAGAAGAAGACGTTCTGAATCATTATGCAAACACAAATTCAGGATGGCCACTAATTTTGGTGACTATTCAGGTGATAGACATCTGCAGGACATCATCTGACCTTTACGTGATGAGCTGAAAGGATTGACTGTATCCAATGAGAGGCCTCAAAGGGATGAGCACAAACGGAGCATGCAGCTGATTCATTTGTTATGATGAGCTATTTCAGTCTCAGCGTCCTTACTCTCTCTCTGTTTGTTATGGAATGCAGATCTTGAGACAGCTTACAGTAAAGCATATGTATCATCTGATAATGGAATGCTTTGACATGGCAATACAGCAATGCGCAATGTACTGTACTGTATATCCGTGCTTGTATATCACTTGAACCTGTAAATCAACATATTTTTATAAATGCTTCTTACAAAATGGAGACCAATAAAAGTATGTAAGTACTGCAGATGTGTTATTTGTGCAGGATTTATTTCCATGCATAAATAAAGAACAAATGTATTGTATATTATCACACTTTAGCAGCTTGTGCCTCACACTGTCAACATAATGAATGTGCAACAGCATTTGAGAACTAAGTACAATCCTATGGGACCACACTTTAACACAGTGCTGCCTTCAAGGTTCACACACTCACAGTAAAGTTAAGTGACGGAGTAAATCTGTTTTATTGCACCGCTCCAACTGGTAAACATGAAGAGCTCCATAAAGCGAAAGCTGAAGCATCAAGAATGCAACACACATGCACAGAGACACACACACACACATACACAGCTGTGACAGCTAATGAAAATATACAATTGCTGTGAGAACATCAGGCTGCTCAATACCTCATTACGGTGTGTTTGTGTGTAAGTGAATGTGTGTGTGTGTGTGTGTGTGTGTGTGTGTGTGTGTGTGTGTGTGTGTGTGTGTGTGTGTGTGTGTGTGTGTGTGTGTGTGTGTGTGTGTGTGTGTGTGTGTGTGTGTGTGTGTGTGTGTGTGTGTGTGTGTGTTAACCAGACCCCACAGCAGTAGAAGCCGCTGGGAGCTCTTGCTGACTAAGAGCCCACGTCAATATTTATCACCACGACAACGGACAGGAGTGTGGGCCCTCGTGCCCTGGAGAGCACCAGATCTGCACTGCACTGTGTGAAGGCATTTGTGTGTGTGTGTTTGTGTGTTCATGTGCAAGAAATGCTGAATCATGTGACCTCCTGTGATGCTGCTCAGCCAGAAAACGGTAACACTAGATTAGCCTCTGTGTCTGCAAGTATATTCTCTACGCATGTGTCTATGTTGGTGTGTGTGTGTGTGTGTGTGTGTGTGTGTGTGTGTGTGTGTGTGTGTGTGTGTGTGTGTGTGTGTGTGTGTGTGTCTGTGTGTCTGTGTGTGTGTGCGTGTGTCTGCACCAGTTGCATTAATTGACACCTCAGGTCACCCTAATGATCTTACAGTGCCATTGCAGGTAAGAACAGGATACATAATCAATGCACATCCCTGTGAGGTGAGCCGATTTTTAAACTTGCAGGGTAAAGGACATGTCAGATAGGAAACATGTGATTTTTGGGTTGTTTTAAAATCAGAAAAGATATTTTTAGTCATCAAAAGGATGTTTTCCCCAACGGGAAATGAGAAGCTCTTCCTTAGTGCATATAGACTTTTCTATACTGAGAGTGCTCCTGCTGGGGCTGCACTGTTGGACCTCTGTTTGCTCTCTACTCTTTGAATTCTCTGCACAGCATCATTGAGCTGGCACGTAACACGGCTTGGGTAATTATCCATCTGTTTAACTCCGTTCAATTAAGATATTAGCAACAGGCAAGCCCTATAAGTGCCCTATAATGTTAATTGGTGTTGTGCTTTCTTCAGGTCTGTCCCACTTCATGCCAAGTTGATTTAATTATTTAAATTTGATTACACCGAGGTCTCTATGCATGCATGTAACCACGATCAAAGTGGATCCTCGCTTTTAGCTAAGGTTAATGAAAAGATGGTAAATATGGGACTTTAATGTCTTCACTCTGCAGACAAAGAAACCAAAATGCTGAAAAAAGTGAGATGTGTATCATTGAAGCAATATAACACAATACAAGAGGGGGTGCTACAGTGGATATTTCAGTGGCTGTGATTCATTCAAAGTAATGAGGTGTCTGGAACTTACAGCTGGGGTGAAATGCAGTCCAACAACACAATCTCAAGTGTGATATGAGTTTTAGACAACTGTTATACAAGCCATTTAGCTGTAAAAATGAAGTGCTGAGCAGTAACCTGTTTAAGGTGCTTTTCAACTGCAGGAACTTTCCTTAGGAACTGGGGACCTTTTAAGGAAATGAAGGAAAGGAAAAAGATTCTTAGACCCACCCTCCCTCCCTCTTCAACATTAATGCTTCTACCACCGTCCGGGTCCGCCTCTCTCTGATCTCAATCTATTTTCAGGTATAGTCTGGGTTGGACTAAGCTTGAGCAGAACAACGCCAGAACCCCCATCCTGAATCTCTCCCGGGCCTCTACAGAACCTCCCAGACCAACCAGACATTCAACACTCCTCATTAGCCTCATCATCCATCACAACATACACACAACAGACAAGACATACACATTCCCAAATTCATATTAAATATTCAAACGTACATCACTGTGGCATGGTCATTGCTAGTGAACCCTTTTGGGGGAGCAGAGTCTAGTATTATCTCCATAGGCCCCTCATGTAACTAAGATGATGATTTTACCTACATTTAAAAATATTACAGCAGGAGTGGATATTTTTATATTATAAATCCACAACTTAGTGGAAATAAGGTCTGCACAGTCCTTTATGGTTTCATACTTAATAATAATAATAATAATAATAATAATAATAATAATAATAATAATAATAATAATAATAATAACTTAATTTAAATAGCACTTTTAAAAACAAGAGCTCACAAAGTGCTTTAACATGCAGGAAGACAAAGACAACAACAAGAGGACACTTGGGGGGAAATGACAAATTACTGGCATTAAAGAAATAAAATGAAATCAAACAAAAATTGGTGGAAGACATAAAAGCTTTGATGAATGTCACATGAGCTGAGAGGACATTAAAATGAAGACATTAAAACAAAGACATTATAAGAGGCCATGATACCCAGCCAACACAGGAACCCAGTCACAAAAACCTGAGACCAAGGGGACTATTATAAAACATGTATAAGAAGCGTATTCTTTACTCAATGTTTTATTTACCCATGTTAATAAAAAATTTAATAAACACGCAGTTTACCTGGAAAAGTTACCGATTGACGGCCTATTTCAGCTTCCGCTGTTGTTACACTCCTGTCCAGTAGGGGCGATACAGAGACATAGAGTCGATATTTAACCGCTGTAAAGTCCTCCTTTAAGCGGAACTCGTTTGCGTTTTCTCTTCCGGTCTTCCTAACCAGCATGGCGAACTTAGAGCATGCTGAAGACGACCCTAAACATGTGAAAATGTCTGCTGAAATCACTGCCGCTACTCCCCAAGTCCAGCCGGCTGAAGCGTCCTCTGGACCGGACATAGACACCGGGGTGATCCCGTGCTCCATCCCGTCGTTCGCGGCCGCCTCCGAGCTGCTGTCAGCCCCGTACTCGTGTCTGGTTCTGAACACACACCGGAGACACATCACTCTGCCCCCCATGTATCTGAACAAGAAGAAGACAGGTATTAAAGAGGAGCTGGAGGCCGAGCTGCTCAGATTCTCCCAGAGGTAACAACAACAACTCCACTACGTCTGTGTTTACTTGGTCAGCTGTGCAATAACATCTCTGTTGGACTGAGTGTGTTTTTAGTCTTTCACCTTCATTGCTATGCTATTTATGCAAGGTTCTGTGTTGGCAGGTGTGCCTGAAGTACCTAAATCATGTATTTGATTATAGGAACAGGAGCTTTATATGAATTTGCACATTTGATTTGACCATGTGCTTCTAAGCTTTGCTGTTTTGACTCTTGCAGTTTAGCAGGAGTACCCATGGCGTATGATGACATCAGGATAGTTGGGCACCATGGGAACATCTACGACGACAGCGGCTACATACACATGGACATAGAGGCCAGCTTCATTGTCTTCCAGCCCACGAAGGGACAACGACTGGTGGTAAATATTACACGGGCGACACAATACTGTCAAACACCAGCTGGGAAAACATCTGTCAAACTCTGACCTTTGGCTTGGCTTTACTTCTTCTTTTTTTTTTGTGAAGACCTCTTTGTTGAGGCACAGCGAATGCAGCAACATACGTAACATTTTTTTAAACATAATACCCCCCACCCACCTCCCACCCCCCTGGCAGCATCCCTCCCTCCCCTCCCTGGTCTCCCCTGGACCAGTCAATCATCTATTGTCAACAGTACATTGTAGTGAGTGGTGTCCCTCTGTTCACAACCCAAAAAGTTTATCCTTTACCTGTGCAGCTGCACCTAACCACGTCTCCAAAGTGGAGGCTTATTAATCCGTGCAGTTGACATCTCAAGTAACACTATCATGAAAATAAATCAACCATTTCCTAGTACTAAGATCATGAGGTGGTAGCCGTCTTTCCACTAGGAGTTTTTTTGGCAGCTGTGAGGCCGCTCAGCAATAGTTTACGCTATTTCTTACTTAGATGTATTTGAGAGTCATCATTTAGAAGTAAAACTGGATTGCATGTTATAGCACTACCTAGTAATGCAGACAAGAACTTTACTTTGTTTTTAATCTGCCTGTTCTCAGGGTAAGGTGAATAAACTTGGAGTTAGTCATGTCGGCTGTCTCGTCCACGGCTGCTTCAACGCCAGCATCCCCAAACCCAGCCTGGTTACCATGGAGACATGGAGGGATGCAGGGCCCAGAATCGGATCGGATTTGGAGTTTGAGGTGATTGCGCTCGATGCGGACATTTTTGGGGTGCTGCTGATCAGAGGACGACTGGATAGGACGAAGTAAGTGCTGTGAGATAAGGCCTTGTTGTTTCAAAGTATTTTCTGTTACCCCAACTTAATTGACCAAAGTTGGGTTAAATGCTTCCATTTTTCTAAATAACTTTAAATTTGCTTCTAAAGCAGAATAACAAGAGTTCGTTTGCATCAGTGTTTGATTTGTGTCAGTTTTGCTGACGTTAGACTGTCAAATATGTCATTCATGATTAATATTTTAGCAAGAAATTGTGAAAACTGCTTTTGCTTCAGCGGCTCGGCTCGCATTTACCCCTTCGCACCAACTTCTGTTTTTTAAATATTCAATATTAAAATCCTAAGTCTTGTCCCTTATGGTCTTTTGTGCTTTGATAAAGCACTTCTATCAATTTTTGTGTATTACATAAATATAAAACTCCCCACAGGCGCTTTAATAATAGTTAATATTAGAAGCAATTTCAATATTACTTACTTGTAAAATTCAGCAGCATCAACATTGTATTAATTTCCTTAAAACAGTTTTTAAAAGTCTTAAATTTGATTTCTGAAAGGGTTTAGGAGTTTTCTCCTTGTCAAAAAAAAAAAACTCTATAGCAAGAGCCACATTTTTATAACAGTAATCAATGGTGCTAACAGGAAATGCTATTAACATAGATAACCTCAGTGTGCTGTGAACACTGATAAATCACTTTATTTATATCTCAGGGTGCAAGAGCTTCTGGCAAAGAGTGAGGGCTTAGAGTCCAACACAACTACAGATCAACCAGAGCCACCAGAAACAGAACCAAAGACAGAACCTGCAGAGGAAGAGGAGTCTTCTGCTGATGTCCCTAAGAAAAAGAAGAAGAAGAAGAAGAGGAAAATGAAAGAGGAGGAGGAAGAAGAAGAGATCACAAGCCTCAACACACAACTGGATGCCGACACGACACAAGAGCTGGACGGGACTCCGGAAGAAGCAAACGGTAATGAAACAAGTGAGAAAAAGAAGAAGAAAAAGAAAAAGGACAAACGTGTAAAAGAGGAAGAAGAGGAGATGGATCTCTCTGCCATGGAGGTGCAGGGTGGCAGTGACTCCAGCGGATATGTGAGCGACAAACCGAGTAAGAAGAGAAAACATGAGGCAAGTACAGAAGTCACAACAAGTTTAAGTACCGAATCACCAAAACCAAAGAAGAAGAGGAAAAGTGAAATCGAGCAGTCTGCTTAAAAAAGTGATACTCTGTGGTGAAAAACAGTTGAATGACTGAAGATTTTCCTTCAGTGCCTTAAGACACTCAGTTTAAAGCAAGAAAGTCTTCTGGGTGTTTTTACCAGTCCAGCAGAAGTCTCTCTCCTTCTCTTCATAAAGTTTTCAGAAAAGCGCCTGAGAGGAAGAGGCCCTCTTAACAATGCAGTTCCCTTATACTGCCTGAAGGGGGCGCAAGACTTCTTCAGATATCCGCAATGGGACATGAAAACAAAGGAGGGAAACCTTGTCAAACTCGTGTGGAAAAACTGTGCTTAGGGTGGATTAACAGAGGCAGGGATTTTGCTCTGAATTAATGGAGCCAAACTAGAGAAAGTCAGTTGTAATTGTTTAAATCAACTCAAGTATATTTTGTCCTGTTTGGATACTTAAACTCAGTGTGTCCCACATGTGCCTCAAATGAAAACATCTGTCTTAAATACTCCCTGTAATGAAGGGACAGTTTTATTTACGCCAGATACTTGCTGCATTAACTCAGTAACCAGTGCTGTTAGGAAATATTTGACCTGCTCCACTTTCGTACTCCAGTTATGACAGTTTTCACTCAAGACTGTGACTCGTCTTCACCTGTAAACAAACAGAAATGTTAATTAAATTCTTAGATCCAAATAAAAGAGTTCTATATTTTGAAATGTTTGCTCTCACTCCTTTATTTGAAGTACTCTAAAATGTCGTATTTGAAAGGAAAAACTTAAATCATGGGAATTTTAAGTGTTTAGTTGTGACGCAATTACATTCTTTTTAATTAGGGATATTAGATTTTAGCTGACCTGATTTGCAAATACTCCTGCCAAATTTTCATGACAAATTCTACCTCAGAACGAGCTTCTTCATACTGAGCAGTCGGTGTTAAGTGATCAAGTGCTGAGAGACAGCCTAAAGATCCTTGTGTTTTCTTTACCCCCCTCACACTCACACCTAAATCCCCCTGCCTGTCCGCGGGGAGTCTCATCCTCAGCTGTGAGGTGCTTAGAGTCTAAGAGCTTATCAGGAGAAGACTGATAAGAAGTTGCAATTAACTCTGCTCATCCTCCTCTGTCACACATGATCACATACATCTGTGCTGCTTATTCAAATCTAATGATCTTATAAGAAAGTGGGGAAAGCTTGAAGGTTTGGCTAACACATAGATGGTTTACACCACTCTTACTATTGTCACTATGGATGGTCATACACCAGACTGGACCTGTCTGTAAACCTCTATAGGAGTAACCATCTCCTCTCTTTCTGGGTTCCTTTTCTATAACCTTATTGGCGTGGTGATGGGAGCCATCCTGGGGTCTGCCATGGCTCCAAGAGGCCGCCACCTTTAAGCTGCCCGGTTCAGCTCCTAAATTGTCATGGGTGCAGAAGGGGTGTTATGGCTTTAAAAAGGGGGTTCAGTAAAGCTAAGGCTACCCTAGCTACCTTATGTGTTATTTCATGCGAATAGAGGGCGTGTAACCATGATTTAAACCACAATTATTAAACATGGCTCTTAAGGCACTGTTTCCAGGTCAGTCAGTTAGAGGAGGAACTGTGAGAAAAACATGTTGTATTTTGGCTTCACTTTTGTGCAGTAGGACGAGTTGGAGGCATGTTGTCTATCTTTATATTCAGTTATTTATTTATTTTTTTAATCTTTCAAATAAAAAATCAAGCAAAACTAAAAGTTCAAAAGGACTTCAAACAGTTCAGTGTCCTCCCGTGACCTCCATCTGTCTTCATCACACTTCTGCCCAACTTCAGCTCTTATGTGTGCACCTCTCTCGCACCTGTGTCCCCCACTTCTCCTCCAGCACCACTCATTTATCTTGTCAATCCTCCTATCACTCCCTCGTGCTGCCTCCCTCTCTTCCTCCGTCCTGCTTTGCCTCCTCCTTCCTCTGCTTGTCTCTCTGATTTATAGGAGGCGGTGTGCAGTTCACACACATTCCACTTCTGACAGTCCCCCCTCCTCTGCCTCCCCTTCCTCCTCCTCCTCCTTCTGCCAATGGACTCTCATATCTCTGAATGGTCGTTTATCTTCATGATTCTGCAGAAGAGAAAAAGAAGAGCAGAAGAGATGAGACAATAGGAGTGTTGTTTTTGTTGAGCAGGCCAGACTTTCTTCTCATACACCTCTGTCTTAAAAGTGTGTGTCTTTGTGTGTGTGTCTGTGTGATTGCGTGTGTGCAAATTGGCTGTCTCTCTATCTTCTTTGTCAAACTTTCCAGGCCTCCTACATGAAAGTTCCCCTGAAGTCTTTATGGAGAACAAACGGCTCCCTGACGCAATGCCTCAGGTTCAGGACACACACACTCACACACACAAGCCATGCCACACACACCATTCCTACAACCCTCAATCCGCAAATCTCCACCCGCGTCGGCCAGGCCTAATTAGTCCTGTGGTCGGCACTCTGCTCTGTCCCAGAGCCCCAAATGGCAGCAGGTCATAAAATCTTTAAGTGTTCCTGCAGTCAGAGCCCAGCAACTGTGGCCGTATATCGTCCAACGCTGCAGAGTTATATCAAAGCCCGTCTCTCCCGAGCTCACTGACATCCATGAAATCCCTTTACAGCACTTTCAAAGGCATTTCTGAAAGCTTTTTGGCACTTCTGCTCTGCATCTCTGTTTTTATGCTCCCTCAGGTGGTCAAAGAGCCCGCGCTCACTCAAAGTCAGACAGGTTTGAGCGTTAAACTCTTTCCCAGGAGATCAATGCTCACACACATGCCAACACACACACACATACACACACAGCGCTAACCCCAAAGGTAAACATGCCTGTAGGCTTGTGACTTGGAGTCTCATAGTTGGTTTCCATGGCACCGACACCCCCGTCCCTCCTTTAAGTAACAGTTTTACTGCAGAACATTCTGTGTTATTTGTCTAATCAAAGACACCCGTCATCTATAAGATAGTTCAAGAACTCATCAGCAAACATGTAAATGATGTTTTTAAGCAAGAGTGAAAAGGATTGTGTTACCTTCACTGGACCATACCCTGATGGCAGCCATCTTGGTATGATGTCACACTCTGATATTTTTATAATGTGGCCGACACTGTGCTCTTGGTCATCCTGACAAATTAGGGTTGTTTTACGGCTACACATTAATAATCAGTCCAGTTCAGTTTCACTTTGTGCTTTATTTACATGTGTTTCCATAACCTGGATGAATCACATGCTGAGTCATGTGTCAGTCTTTAATTTGTTTTTAACATCCTCCAGTTATAACTTGTCTGCAGCTATAGAAAGTCAGCAGTGTTGAACTATTGTTGAACAGAGGTTGGTTGCTTTGTCAAAATGATGTGAATTAAATACACATTTTGATATGTTTGAGGAAGAGGTCATGTTGCATTACCCTAAACTGTGGTCCGAATGTCACTGAAAGTCGATTAAAAATGCATTTAATCATAAAATATGGATATAAAGCTCCTATAAGGAGTTTTTTGGTTATGAAATAGACTGAAATTCATATCGATGCCTTTTCATGATACCCAAAAGCATACAAGACCATCAGCAAAAAGATTGATGTTTTTTGTTTTCTGATTCTAAATGCTTAAGACTTGAGTGAGAGGGTAGATGTCAGCTGAGCAGCTAAAGAAACAGACATGATTTTTACAATTTTTGCATGAAATATTTACAACAAATGTTAATTTGACTGTTTAAAGTCTGCAGAATTAGATTTTTCATCAAAAGCCAGTAATCAATCATGTAGATTAGATGATGAGTGAATGCTGTTTTGACCACAGGGGGCACAAACATAGAGACAGGGGCATTAAACTGTAAAAACTCTTCCCCTTTGACTGTGTTTTTTTGTACCTGATTCAGAGTGGAGATTGTATGTTCGGCCTGCTCAGCAAGAACAGTTTACTTAGAAAAACAGAAAGATACAAAAAAGATTTATACTTCTCTCTGTAACTAAACATGATAAATATGATCAGTTTTGTGTTTAATTGCGTTACATTTACAGTCATTTTGTTTAAACCACCATCCATCATCAAATTTTTGCATCCATTAGTCATTTAGTTAAGAGACAAAACCCTGAAAAGAATAGTTTGTCATGTACTGCTTTAATTAACGTGATATTTCATCTCATTTCATTCCATTTTTATTGTGTGTGTGTGTGTGTGTGTGTGTGTGTGTGTGTGTGTGTGTGTGTGTGTGTGTGTGTGTGTGTGTGTGTGTGTGTGTGTGTGTGTGTGTGTGTCCTGCCCAGTCCAGTGAGATTAATAGGGCTCAGTTTAATCAGGAGTTAACGGGAGGCTCACAGGCGTCTAGACAGTGTTCAGACCGAACCGTTACTCCTACACCCAGAGCTCAAGAAAAAATGGCTGCTAGTGGACAAATGATAGAAAAACATTAATCTTAACTTTTTGCACCTAGTTTGATAATAATATTATTCACAAACTAACCATCCGAGGTCACAAAACTAACCATGAAAGAATGAGACCTTATAATGTGAGCATGAAATGTGAAATCAGACAGACCAGGAACAACAATCTGAGTTAAAAAGAAACTGGGTTCTTATCACTCCCTGTTCCTTTATTCGTATAACTCAAGAGGACAGCAGAAATGCAGGGAGGAGTAATGAGTGGAGGGACAAGGAGAGGAACACACACAGAATATCTTCAAACTTTCTGCCACATCCTCCCAAAACCACAGAAGAGAAATGAGCCAAAAGTGGAAAAAAAGTCCTGAGTCTGGAAAAATGATCTAATGTTTAGTTGTGTGAGGTGACAATACCCTTGACGACACAAAATATTTCATTTTACTCCATGACAACTTTGTGACAGTGCCGAACAGGGAGGTATGTAAAGAGAGAGGATGGCAAAGTAGAAAGAAAAAGAAAGAAAGAGAGAAAGAAAGAGAGAGAGAGAGAAGGGACAAAGAGAAAGTAAAAACCCAGAAAGCCAAAGTGCTTTGTATGCAATTAAAAAGCGACTGAGAAAGAGATGAATCAGTCTGTGAAACATCTGCTGACTCTGCCAAGAAGGTTCATTTTCATTTAGAATTAAAAAGACAACTTATGGTGAATGTGTTTCAAACATAAAAAGACATTTTCCTCAGTAAGTTTATACGTTCAAACAGCTTTAATAGGCTGAAAACTGAAAGTCGTGATGAACCAAGTTTTCACAGAACAGAGAAGTACAGTGACAGTACAGAAACAACTTTTTCATGGTGATTAAACAAGTTAGAAAAATCATTAATCAGCAAGCTAATCCAGAGGTTTTACTTACTCTTTGCAAATGCATTAAAGGTGCAGTATGCAACATTAAGCAACAATTATCTGAACAGACTTTATAGGAATTGAAAAGTCAACTCTTTTGACCACTGAAGGAATATTTATTTGTCTGTAGTCTCATGTTATGTACTATTTACAGAGGAATCATAAGTGTGATTTATCTGTAGGTGTGTTTAAATTAGTTTATAATCACCTTCATATAAAAAAGTGTTTTGCTTTTGTAGCTTAGACTTAGTCTTTTATATCCACATAAGAGAGGGTCTCCTTCCATGGAGGCCGCCATCTTACATCGCCATGTTTCTACAGTCAGACAAAACTAACAGCTTAGTAAGGCCCATGAGCATTTTTGTATTTCCGAAAATAAAGTCCACCAGATTCATCTGACTCCGCTCTTCCACAGCAGCGGTGACATCAAGCCCTAATTTGAACTATATTTCACTTAAACACACCAACAAACCGCCATAATGAGCAGAGTCAGGCCTGGAGTCAACAGGTTAGAGGTTTTCAGAGCTCACTGTGGAGGGAGAAAGTCACTTGTGACTCCAGCTGTCCATGTTGGCCTATAAAAAAGCAGCTTGTGAGTGGTGTTGGACAAGGGAGCACAGACAGGGCAACAGTCAGTCATAGTTTAGGATTTGTAGGATTTGAAGGGGGCCTGTGCAACCCCTAGCTGCCTTTGGATCCGCCCCTGCTCTGGGCTTCCGACAGGGAAAACGTTGAATCCATCTGGAGAAGTCTTGAGTAAATATCTTGAACAGAAATCATCCCCAACAGGAGGAAATACTGATTTAATCTAAAACTACTTACATCCAAGCAAAAACAGAAAGATATGTCAGCACATCAGGAAAAATAAACTTACAGCTGGACTGATCACCCCTACATTAGTCCACGTGGTTGATCAGACCAGATCTGGGTGAGCCAAAGTCGAGGATATGACTTTAAAAGCAAACAAAATATTGCTCCCCAAAAATACACAGTAGAAACGGCATGACCCTCTTCCAGAAAATAAACACAGACATTACTCAGACTGCAGCAGGGTGGGGGTGGGGGTGGCCGAGGCAAGGTGCTGACATGGGTGTGTGTGTTTTGAGTGCGGCGGTTTAGAGGGAGAGCTGAGCCCTGATTCAAAGAGGAGGAGCAGCAGTGGTTTGGAAAGAGATGGGGAGGGATCAGGAGGAGGAGGGGTGCAGATATATGATGTGGTATTGAGGTTTATTCAACTTCCACACAGAAATGTAAGCATCCCACCTTAACTGGCCAGCCACCCATGTAAATACCTCCTGATTGGCTGTTGAAATCTGCGGCCAATCAGAAGTTGGGATGTAGAGGGAGGCGGGACAAATGTGCCAATGAGTCAGCTTCTGGATGTGGGAGGAGGAGAGAAAGCTGAGAGACAGAGAGTCAGAGTGACAGAGGTCAGTATTAAAAGTCATCTCTTTCACTCCATCTGTCTTAGCCTGACTCTCTATTAAACCCCAGCTTCAAGATTCGCTTTATTTGCAAGAACCCGATGAAGTGTAGAAACGCTGAAGTTATAGAGAAATGTAAGAGAGGGATTGAAGGTAACTGAGGAGGACAGATTCAGAAAGAGGAGCAGAAAAAAAGAGTTACAGAGAAGTGTCTAGTTTCAGATTTACTGTGATGGTGGGAGAGATCTGGCGTTGTTCTAGCAGCACATCGAGGGTTGAGCCAGAGGAGGAGTAGGAAGACAGATTTACGCGGTGAGAAAGACTCAGGCTTCACACTAACTGTTCTCTGGTGATCTCTATATTTGAAAAAACTAAAGCACCAGGTTACATTTGTACACTTCCAGTCAGCGTAGAATTCTTGAAAATGCCAAAGGTCTTGGATCTGAATTTGCACAAGCATTTATAGTCCACAGAGGATGACTCTTAAAGACTTCTGTGGCTCTGTGACAGTTTTTTTTTTTTTTGCGTCCGCTTGTGGAGTCAACATTTGCAGGTTTAGTTGTGAAACATATTCAGTTATTCCTGTTTTACATCATTAATACTTGCGGATCATTCAGTGCTGTCATTCTGATCAGCTGCAACCCCAACTCTGTATCAACACAACACACCTTTTTTTTTTTTGAACATGTAAGCATTATGGCTAAATTGTGACCACAAAGCAGCGCAGCCTCTAACTCAAAAAGACAGAAACTGGACTGACCTCGACAAAGTTCTGGTCTCACTCTGAGGTTTTTATCAGGTGACTTCCACTGTTTACCTCCATAAATATTTAGTCACACCACAAACTATCATTAATTTCTCTCTGTGAACCCACTAATAACAAAGCCGAGCAGGAAACAGGCCATTATGAGTCTGTGTGTGAAGATCAGTGTTGTGTGTTTCCACTCTGACAAAACTGGGATAAACCCCTGTAGGTGTGTGTGTTTCTCCCGCTCTGTGTTTGTGTGCCTCTTTTGGGGTTTTACTCCTTATTTAAGACCAATATTTACCCAGCAGCCCCAGGGTGAGATTACCTCATATTCTCCCACCCAGCTGTGCTTTCTCAGCGTTTCCACGGTGACCGGCGGAATGTCTCATCATGTTTATCTGCCCGCCAGGAAAACAGAGAAGGAGAGGAAGAGGAGGCAATGAGGGAGATGGAGGAGATACACTTAGGTTGGAGTTGGAGTTTGTATACAGACACTCTTAAACTCCAGTACTTCTTGGAATTACCACACAGGAATGCACAAGACACTCAAGATAGTGGGAAAAAAGTTACTTTGGTTTGTTACTGGTTACTCTGGATGTCTAAAGCAGATTGTAGGTGATCCAACAAGTCTCAAGTCCAAGTTGAGTCTCCATTACCTGAGGCGCCTCTTGGCAGGAGTTGATGCCGAACAATACTGCGTGTAAAGAGATGTGCTTGCTAATGGCGGGGAATTAGAGGATTTTGTTGATACTGATGCCACAAGTTTATTCTGCTTGTCGATCCAATTCTCTGTCGGTTTTCTTATCAATTCATGTGGATTTTCTTTGTGGGGAAAAAGTAGATTTATGCAGGTTTTCTGTGTCACTAACACAAATTCTATTACCTGTACAGTTTAGCTGAGACAGACACGCCTGGCTTCTGCTTGAGCATTTAAGGGTCACTTCAAATTCAATCAATCAAATTTTATTTATAAAGCGCCAATTCACAACAGTCATCATCCCAAGACGCTTTTCAAAGAACAAGAGCAGGTCTAGACCACGCTCATTGTTTGATGAATTATCAAGAACCAACCTAAGATGGGTTCTGGCCCATCTTATCTAACATGGGTAACAGTGATTGATTGTAGGTACAGCCTCTGATTGGCTGCATTAGTTCTCATACAATTAGAGCTAGATAGTGGCATAAGCATGCAATTTATAAAGGGAGGACTGGATTAATTCATTTTGGCCTGACCGGTCTAATCAAAGTCCTTCAATGGCAGCAGCCTCCTGGTTTAAGACATGGCTCATTTCACTCGAGTTAATACATAGATCATTTTAGATTACGTTCATCATTGGGGCGGCAGTAGCTCAGGAGGTAGAGCAGTGGTCCAATAACTGGAAGGTTGGTAGTTCGATTCCCCCCTATCCAGAGTCTGTCTGTTGTGTCCTTGGGCAAGATACTTAACCCACCTCGCTCCCAGTGTGTGTCCTCCACTAGTGTATGATTGTGAGTGTTGTGTGATGGTGGTCGGAGAGACCGTAGGCGCAAACTGGCAGCCACGTTTCCGTCAGTCTGCTCCAGGGCAGCTGTGACTACTAAAGTAGTGTTGTGTTTTAGAGTGTGACTGTGTGAGCGAATGAATGATGTACCCAATGTAAAGCGCTTTGAGGGTCTCTGATAAAGCGCTTTATGAAATCTGATGCATTAATAATTATTTATTTTTGAGGGTTTGGATTCTGACAGTCTCTGAAAATACACTCATCTTCCCTGTGTGATAGAAAAGCCTCTAGAAGTCAAAGCAACTTACAAAGTTTAAAACCAGGAAGCTGCCGGTCTCACACGGCGAGTGGATTTTACTGTTATTTGGTAGTTTATAACATTCTATTTTAAGAGCTGATTTTCTAAGAACAAGATTGTATATAGGGCACTAATTACTCCCATTTGTTATGATTACTTCCTTGGTTGTTGTTTGCCAAGTCTAAGTAGAACAGAAGTGTTAAGTATTGAGGCAAATGATGTTAACAACTTGGACTAGGTGGAACCAGTTCTGAAGTAGAACTAGTTTTCAATTCCTATTCTGGCTACCTGCTCTTGCTCAAATGAATAAGAAAAACTTCTCAAAGACAAAAAAAGTCTATCTGTTTAGAGGTCTGAGTCCTCCGGTAACATCCCCTGAGACTTAAAGAAGTCAATGCCCAAGTCCAAGTTTAGTCACAAGTCTTGAAAATCAGATCTCCAGTTGGACTCAAGTGCTAAACTTGAGCACTACACCAGAGGTTGCACTTTCCCTCAGATGTCTGTTGATATTATCATAACCAAAACAATGTTATCTGATTGGTGATGGCTTCCAGGATTGTAATGTAGTGGATGTGTTCCACCCAATTGGCTCCCAGTACTGTTTTACTATCTACAGCCAATAGTTGATGAAATAGTGAATGATTACTACACAGGAAAACCAAAACACTTGGGATAAAAAAAACTTCGTATTTCACATTGAATCTGTCTCCAGTGCCTGTTTTCTTTCACTTAACAGCCTAATACTTCTTGTCTTTACTTTTGATTCATGATGGCTAATTATCTGAAGCAGCTCTTTCTTTCCTGTTCATATTAGACACTCAAAAGCACAATACAGACACTAAATGATGGATTATTTTACGTTACCATTGTGAAAAATTATAAAAGCATGTTGTTTTATCACACATTTATTTGCAGCGACAGCAATCAAGCATCAAAAAAGGGGTAAAAACTGTCAAATAAGTGCAATCAGGCCTGCACCATCATGCTCACAGGGAAGTAACAGGTTTGGTCTCATAAGTGGCAAGGTCCTCTTATCCAAGTTATACAGTGCATACAGCGTCTCTCCCAGCATCCCCTGCGCTGTGGACTCAGTCTCGCCATGGGAACGGACAGTTATTTGCTTTAATTTGCAACAGAAAAGCGTGTGGTGTATAGCGACTGTTAGGGAATGTTCTATTTGGTCTTCCCCTGGCCTGTTTAAGTGATAAAAGTGTCATTATTTAGCCTCCAAAGCAGAAAGGAGAGTGCAAACACGACTGCATGACCCTCTGTCAAGAGCCTCCGTTCTTCAGAGGCTCATTAAGGGCCTCCAAGAGGACTGCGCATCAATTGGAGCGGGCCCTCCAGCTTCCTCTCGGCCTTTTTTAAGCCCCTTTGCTCAGATTCAACCTGCTCGTCGAGCGAGGAGCGTCAGAAACGCACCCAAATTGAAGTTAAAGCAGAGTGGACATGAAAGATGTGGCGCTGTGAGGAGGCATATTAAAACAGCAGGAAAGGCCCTTGGACTTGAGCCAAAGAGGATCTCACCCTGTCGCGCGCTGACCGGATTTGGAAAAGTTTTGGATTTACTTGTAAAGATGCTCTTCTGCTTCAGTCTCTGAATGATTTCAGCCTGTGTTGGAGGTTTTTGCGTCAGTACTTTACAGACAGATGAAATGACACTTTCTCCGACCCGGATGCTTTCACGCAAATCCACTGAATGGACTCCACGTTATTTTGTTTAGTCAAGGACTTTAACCTGATGGATTTTCCACAGAAATACAACATGGGATCAAAACAGCAAGTGGATAATATAACCTCCAGTCCAAACAACCAGATGCACCTTAACGTCTCACCATGGAGCCGAGAGCGAGATAATGCCATGCGCATTAGTAGGCCTGCTGCACAGCTGGTGACGGTTACACCGAACTTTAACAGCCGCGGGGCGCACGGGCATCCAAACAAGTCCAAACGGAGGCGGATCATCACTGTGGTGCAGAGGCAGGCGGCTAATGTGCGGGAGAGGAAGAGGATGTTCAGCCTGAACGAGGCGTTTGATGAACTGAGGAGGAAAGTACCCACGTTCGCCTATGAGAAGAGACTGTCTCGAATCGACACGCTGCGTTTGGCCATAGTATACATCTCTTTTATGACGGACCTGCTGGAGCAAAACAGCCAAAATAGTCCAATGTGAACTTAATTTGAAGAGGGTTAGACTGGAGTGGATTGGCACTGGTGCGCATACAAGTGAACTGATAATTTTTTTCCCCCCATAGAGTTAGAAACTATAAATCTAGACACAAATGTTTGTGTTTTTAACGTCTCAAATACTGTTATCTCCTGAGTTTTATAGCACTGCCGGGATATTTTTAGTTTCCCAAATGCCTCCAAAACATTCCCCCACCACAGTCCGTAAAATCTTCAAATAATATCTTGTACAGCTAACCCCTCGTTGGCTATAATTTATCTGTATACACAGCTAAACCATGCAGATCAATTCAAAACCCTAATCATGCAGGTTATGTTAAAGGTCATGTTCGAACAATGAAAATTTTACGACTTAAACGCATTTTTAATAATCAAGCTTCATCCTCTAATATCAATTCAATAATAATAATAATAATAATAATAATAATAATAATAATAATAATAATAATAATAATAATAATAATGAAATAATAATAATAATAATAAAGACTGTATGGCGGTGCTTTCTCATAGGTTCCTGAGAAACTGAATCCTCAGGTGTGTCGTTTCAGCACCCTGGAGAGCGACCCCGCTGCGCGCCTCACCTGACCTGACGCAGACATGGGCCAGGTGCGACTTTTTTCACTAAGAAAAGATTAAGGAATTTGTTTAAATCATTTAAAGCCTTATTAGAGTGTCACAGGGAGAGGTGTGAAGTCTCAGCAGATTAAAATCGCAAGGTCAAGTCTCCCTGCGTGACGCTCTTTGATATCTTTGGCACAGAGGTGTGAATTGACTCAGGGGTAAACAGGGTGACAGACACTCAGACATGCGCGCCGTCTCAGAGATATTTGGAAACGTGTTGTCTGGAAATGCGAAAATGTGTCGTTGGTGGCGGTTCCTTCTCGTAAAACTGGGCCAGACGGGGCCTGATGTGACTCTCCTCACATGTCATCCTCCCTCATCAAAGGTGAGGCCTCCCTGAGGACACATTCACACCACAAACCACCTCCACAAACCGCAAGATCTAGTTTCAGCCACATGTTGAGGTTTCTCTGCTGGATTTTTATTTTATACCACGGAAGACCCTAGATCTGGGTGGTCATGTGTGCGTGTTTAGACTCCCTCTTCCCCTCTCTTTCTCTCTTTTCCCTATCCATCTTTATCACCTCCACTGTTTACATTTCTCTCCAGCCGTCCACCGCCTTCAGCGTCCCCGCTGTGAGCACGGATCCGCCCTGAGAGCTCCCTGGGACGGGCAGTCTTTTAAACCTGAGCCGCGGTGTCGAGATCCCTGCGGGAGTCGGACCCCATTTAAGCGCATACCTCAACGCGGGGCCGCTGACGGGAAAATAAACACCTCGGTCTGCTTACGAGCGGAGGCCTCCTGCTGTGACAACCTCCTGAGTTTCAGTGGGTCTGATATTTTTCACCGCCACCACTGCTCCCATCTCAGGGAGCGTCTAGACCTGTGCAGGGAGACTTGGGACCCACAGACAACAGACTTTTGGAGTCCTTTTACGCAGTTTTGCACAAAGCAGGTCAACGCAAAGGCCTACTTTTGAAAAGACGTAGAATACGGCAAACATCAGATTAAGAGTCTGGTTTAATCTTAGGTTTATGCTTCACCTCCAAAAAGGAAAAATGTCCAAAAAAGAAGAAAACATTACTGTGCATTTATCTCAATCAAATTAAACACGAACTGAAAATAATTGTAGGAAATGACAGATCGAAAAACTCATCCCTAAAAGATCTGCTTGTGCAAAAATCTTCACCTTTATTAAAGCACACAGCACCCCTGTTACACTCCCTCTCACAATCTCATGCAAGGAGTCTGCATGTCCTAAACACCATTCCTGATATAATAACTAGAACTCTCCTTCTGCAGTATTATGTTACACCCCTCCTCACCCAATCACAGAGCGCCCCAAAATCCTCCTGCGCGCTCCCCGCTATAAGAGCCCCGGCCCTCCTAGTCTGGCAGAAACCTCTCCTCCTCTGTGGCGCGCGAGATTTACCGTTATTCCGGCCCACACCCTGTCCAGGCCAGGTTTCTTATTACCTGTTGTGTTTGTTGATGCTGTGAGAAGTTTAACTGAAAAGGCTAAGTGATTGTAAGGGTGCTAGAGACACCAGGAAAGTTTTGAAAAGGATAATGCGGGAAGAAGACCCTTCCCAAATGGACAGTGCAGGAAACAGCGAGGAGGAGACAGACCGTCAGCTGCCGAGGAGAGGTGCGAGGAAGCGAAGAGCGACACGGAGGAGTGCGGATGAGGAAGAGGAGGGCGACACTGAGAGTCCAAGTCCAGGGAAGAAGAAAAGCAGGAAGAGCTGCGATGCAGGAGGCGGCAGTGTGGGCAGCAGCAGCGGCGGCAGCGAGGGCAGCAGCAGCCCCGCGCCCTCATTCGATGACCTGCACACGCAGCGCGTGATGGCAAACATTCGCGAGCGGCAACGGACGCAGTCCCTCAACGAGGCTTTCACGTCGTTACGTAAGATCATCCCCACCCTGCCGTCGGACAAACTCAGCAAGATCCAGACGCTGAAACTCGCGGCTCGGTACATCGACTTCCTGTGCCAAGTTCTGCAGAGCGACGAGTTGGATGCGCGAGGGACCAGCTGCAGCTACGTGGCGCACGAGCGTTTGAGCTACGCGTTCTCAGTCTGGAGGATGGGGGGCGCGTGGTCCTTGTCTACAACGTCCCACTAGCAGACTGCAGCGGATGGATCATCAAGGTAGGTTGTGTGCTCTCTCACTTCTGCCAGGGGACGAACTGTGTCAAAATGGTCCCATGCGCAACTTTACGCACTGCAGACCAGATGAGAAATGAAGAGATCGAGAGAGAAATAAAGAGATACAGGGCATAAATATATGGTGTCAACCTAATACTATGGCAACATTAATTATTTGTAAAAATGATGGCAGATACTTCTGCATAACAGATGTGCTTATTCTCAAAACAGCATTTTCTGCCTCATCAAACTACTATAATTTACAAAAGGGGGATTATGTTGTTGCTTCAAGCTGAAAATATGAATGAATGTTTACGCTGCTTTTTCATAACCAGATCTATCAGAATGGTTCAGCCTGGATTCTTCAAATACCACCCTACCTTTGCACTGATCCTTTATTTTCTCCTTTCTATTACAGATTATCCAGCCTGAAGAGCCAGTGGATCCGGCCAACCCTTCAGAGAGACTGAACTGGGCCATCCACAGCTGAGGCTGCGCCGTATCAGAGTCTCAGGCCTCAGAGGACAGCAGGCTTTTCATATTTCCCTCTGCATGGACTTTGATGTTTGAGTGGGAGCACTTAAGACGGACATGAAGGAAGACCACTGCGACTATGAATGTTGTAAAAAGAAAAAATGAACTCTGAGGAACTGCTCTGTTTGGAAACACGGCAACTCATTCCACATTCCCTGTGACAATGTCTCACAGCAAATGACAATTTTGTATTTATTTTTCTACACAGACTCCAAATTCCTTTCCCCTTCCTCTCCAATAAAGTGTATTTATTTTTGGATATCTCAGAATGCTGAATAGATCTCGGATCTCAATGTTGTAAGTAGTTGGTAATATCTTGAATTAAAGATGACAGTATCATTCCAAACTCTAAGCAGTCTGGACTTCCACTATAACTAGAGCCAGGATATAAGACAATAAACTCCTCAATAAAAGACCATCAGCCGAAGGCCTTTGGATTGCTTATTTGACCCAAAAATTGTTTTCAATACCTGAAATTTCTTGAAACAAACTCATTTCCCATAGTCTTGGTACTTTGAGCTTACTCAGGAAAGTTTATTTTCATTGGTTGCTGCTGAATCCCCGGTTAACTAAACCACAGAAGAGGAGGGGGGCGAAAGAAAACATCTCATACCCGAGGCTTATTCTGTAGTGATTTCTTGAGCTGGGGGATCTGGGAAAGCCATAATTAGCTGGTGGTCTGTTTTAGAAATGTGAATGTGGAGCAGTGGGAGGCATGCACGATATTCCCAGATGTCCTGTGGAGCCACAGGTCAGCATGGGAGTCTCCTGCAGGTGCTAAAGCAGCAGCAGTAGTTTGGAACAGCGCTGACAGATAAAAGAGGTGGATACGGGTCATGATGCTGACTGAAGTGCCCAAGTCATCAGTTACAGAATATCTGTCATTGTAATGATCAAGACAAGGAAAATAACAAAATAAATCATCTTGGACAGCAAGGATTTTCTTTAGGTTTCTTTTACAGATTAAACTGCACTAAAATGGAAATTTAAGTTTTTTTCTTCTTGCTTTAAACACACACAGGAAGTAACAAAAGGACAAATCTAATCTTGCAGATAATTTGGGTATTTGTGGCAGAAATAAACTCTGATTGAACCAAAAAATCTTCATGCACAATTCCTGCATAGAAAACCCCTTTAGAGAAACCCAACACCCAGCTGTATTAAATGCTTGATTCTGATCTCATGCAAATTAATTGATTCTCAATCAAAACAACCCTGAACAGACACATCAAACCAAATCAGTCAGTATAAAACAATGTCACACCTTTCTCCTCTGCCTGTTGACGCTGTGGAAAAAAATCTTGGCTTGGCTTTATAGAGGTTTTTGGTTTTAATCCTGGATCCTGTCATGGCAGCAGAGCTGGTGGATGCATCTTTAAGTTCACTATGGTGCAAAGATAAGTGAGCTTTCTAATGATGCAATAATATGTTGAAAAACTTCTTAATAGAGCGTACACTTAAACCAGGATGGGTCTGTACAAGGAGTTAAACTGTGTGTCAGAGCTGGTGAAAAACTGTAGCATTAAAGGAGCAGAGCTGACTAGCATCCATTGAGACTAATGTACTTGTATGTAGCTCAACCCCACATCAAAAATATTGAAATATTCCTTTAAGTTTCCACTTACAGGCAACTCACTTCTGTGTGGGTCAGGCAGATGACTGTCTACCTTTATATTTGGTTCTACCTAGGGTTCAAAAGGATATTTTTTCTTGGCACTGCTGCAAAGATCTTGCTCATTGGTGAATTAAAAAAACAAAGTTTCAGGACGACTGTTTCAGGAAGACTAATATCTGTCAGACGGATCATAGATGAAAGATACCGAGGTCAGTCCAAACACCTCACAGTGTGTTCCTCGTCTCTCTGCAGGGTTGTTGAGGGTGATCACAGGGGCGTTACTGTGTTTTTGCATCACGGGTGTGCGTGCGGAAGGTAAAACCATCAGCTCTGACCCCCGGCCCTCGCCAGCCACCGGGGGGAATCGATTCCCACCCTCAGATCACCGTGTCCATGTTATCTTAAACTTGAGGCTGTTGCTCTGACACAGAGGAATGTCACCTCTCACACGCACAAATGCACACACACGCACACACACGCACACATTTAGGTTATACACACTCAGAGGGAGATTTCTCACGCCTACCAAACAGGGAAATACTTTCCTCTGAGGAAAGAGAGAGAGAGAAGAGGACTCCTGCCCCCGCCTTTTGATGTTTGAAGGTAATGGGATGAGCGCTTGTTATCAGTGTGAAGGCATCTGGTTCTCTGGGTTTAAGTGTGCTATGACAGACTCTTTGATGACTGACACTCACACTCTCTCCCCCTCATTAATCACTCTTTATATCTCCCTGCTTTCGTCCCACAGACCTTAAAGAGATCTAAAAAGTCAAAGGTGCCGGCCTGTGTGTTCTTTAGGAGCTGTAAATCTTTGAGCTAACAGAACCAAACTCTAAAAGATCCACATGATTTTTTGAGGTTTGGTGCTGCAGAATTACCTGTCTTTCCTCTGTTTTCACGTCTTTCAGATTTTTGTCTCCTTCACTTCCATCTCTCTCTGAAGTCCCCCATTACGGGGTAACAAGAGCTGGTTTACATTAACCCTCAACACCACAAGAAGACAAGGGGGGAGAGGAAGCTGACATGCACACAAACATGCACACACACACAAACACAAGGGAAACAGAGAGGCACAGACTAGATTTGTGAGTCTGGTTTCCATTAGAGCTAATTATCTGTGTTTCATCTCTACCTACAGCACTAAAGTGGGTGTGCATGTGTTTATAAGAGCCTTTTTTCTCTCTCTCTCCCTGCTGCTGCTTTTAACTAATGGATCTCAAATTATGGGCAATTACACCTGAAGACATTCTCTGAACTGAAATAAAATACTGCTCTGAATAAAAGATAATTGATGGATACAGTGTTTTAAAATGTTGAGCAGAATCTTTGATGATTTAGAAACTAATCTATTCTGCCGCTTTTGCAGAGCTTTTTTTCTTGTACAGTGTAACATAAATTTTAGAAAATGATATCGTACAATGAAATAGGATGTGATACAAATGAAGTGATATAATACCATACAGGGGAAAACCTAGGATGCACGACAGTGTGATATAGTGAAAATGTATGGAGTTTTAAAACAAGAACAAAATAATATGGCATTATGAAATAATATATGATGTGATAAAAATCAGTGCAGTACAATAAATACAGTACAGCACAAGACAATCCGACATCATACAATATGATATGATACAATGCGATTAAACCCAATACACTATAATATGATTTAATACAATAGGATACAGTACGATGCAATTAGATAAGATGCATCACAATACAATATGGTACTTTATGTGACAATGATACAAAAATATATGATATAATACAAGACAACATGATATGAATTTATACAATATGATACAATAAAATACAATACAAGATAATCTGATATCATACAACATGAAACAATACAATGTGTCCACTAGAATATGATTTAATACAATAGGGATTGATTTAACACGATACAATACAATACAATAGGATATGATACAACATGATATCCTGACATGATTTGATGTGATTTAGTGAAATATGATGTGATATGGTCTTATATGATATGTTGCCCTACATACAACTCAATATATGTTACATTTTATCATCCCCTGCAGAATTATTATGTATTTAATTCTTGCGCACACATATTCTCTTATTTGTATCAATAGATTAAACAGAAAAAAAAACACACCAAAGATTTAAACAACACTAAATGTTTTACAAGGTGACTTTATCAGATTGGTTTTCAACTTTGTAAAAAAAAAAAAAAAAACATTTACAACATTTAGGACTGTTACGTTTTTAATTTGTTGCTCTCAAAAAATTCACTTTATACCTAATAATGCTTTTATTATAGACAAACTTATAGGCAAAAATGTAAACATCAGCATGTAGTTTCACTTACTGCTGAGTCAAATCAGGCTTGTCATGTCATCAGGCTGATCTCTGTCTGGACAGAGGTAGGGCAAAAATGATTTTTCCAAAAATATTGCTTCACTAATACATGGGAAACTGTGGTTTCATTAATTAACTAATGTAAGATGTATCATGATTATCAAATAATAACAGCATGGTTTTGTGTTTTCCAATCACTGCCTACATTAAGTGATATTGGCTATGTTATATGGATGCTAGTTTGAACATATTTTCTCAGTGAATACTTACATATTTGTCTTAGCTATGTAGAAATCTATCGCTGACAACCCAACCAATTAAAATCTTTAAAAATTTATGAGCCCCCAACTTTAAACATCTCATGTAAGGATTTGTGTAACTAAACAATGTTATGAACGCATGATCTGAATCATTACGAGTCCTGCATTACTTATTTGTAAATAGTACTGTTAAATAGTGTTACCCACATTTCCTAAAAGTGGACCTACAAAATGGGA